TAATTTCCTCTGTGATTTCTTCAGTGGTCCATTGGTTGTTTAGCCTCCATGTCTGTGTTTTTTGCAGTTTTCTTCCTTGTAGTTGATTTCGAGTCTCATAGTGTTGTGGGTGGAAAAGAGGCTTGCTATGATTTCAGTGTTCTTAAATTTAGAGAGGCTTGTTTTGTGGCCTAGCATGTGATCTGTCCTTGAGAATATTCCATGTTCACTGGAAAAGAATGTGTATTCTGCTGCTTTTGGATGGAATGTCCTATATGTATCTGTTAAGTCCACTTGATATAATGAGTCATTTAAGGCCTGTGTTTTCTTATTGATTTTCTGTCTGGATGATCTATCCATTGATAGAAGTGAGATGTTAAAAATTCTCTACCATTACTGTGTTACTGGTGTTTTTCCCTTTATGCCCATTAATATTTGCCTTATGTATTTAGGTGGTCCTGTGTTTTCAGATGGTCCAAGGTAGCTGACTGCAGAACCCCAAGGAGCCCCAAGGCTAGTGCTGGCTCACTCGTGGTGGACAGAGTCAGGTTCCAGAAGGCTCTGGTGCAGTTGCCAGCCCAACGGTATGTGAAGCCAAGTCCTGAGGTTAGCGCTGGCCTACTAGTGGGCAGAGCTGGGTCCTGGAGTCTGGTTGCAGGGCACAGGGGTCCCAGAGCTGGTGTCTAATTGCTGGGAGGGGGGTCAGTTCCTGACACAGTTGGTATGGGGCCTGGGGTGTCTCAAAGCTTGTGCTGGCCCAGTAGTAGTGAGGGTCAGGGCCCAGCTGGTCCCAGGGCAGGGTCTGGACTGCTGGTGGGCATGCTGTGCCACTTGCTACAGGATTGTGGTTTTCTTATGTCTGCTGTCTGCCCCCTGGTGGTTGAAGCCGGTCCAGAGGCTAAAGCAGGCTTCCTGGAGGGCAGGGTGAGGGCCCAGGGGTTCTGGGGCTGGTGCCTGCCCCCTGGTGGGTGGAGCTGATTCCTGGGTTCGTGAGTGTCCAGAGGCAGCTCAGTGTGTCTGAAGGCAGCCTGTCTGCTTATGGGTGGGGCTGTGTTCCTGCCCAGTTACTTGCTTGGCCTGATGTATCCCAGCACTGGTGGCCTATAGGCTATTGGGCCAAGATAAGCTTCAGATAAGCTTGCATTGGTATGAAGTTCCGTCTGGATCCTGGGGCTAAAATGCTACAGCAAGGATTCCACGATGGTGCTTGCCAATACCAGTATCCACATGGTAGGAGGAGCTCCCAAGAACGGTTCCCACAGGGTCTCTGTCGCCAGGGTGAGCCGCATCTCTCCCCGAGACTCTCCAGGATCACCAGGTAGGTCTGATCCAGGCTCCTATCCACTTACTGCTTCTGCCCTGGGTTCTGGAGTTCAGGAGAATTTGTGCACACCCTTTAAGAATGAAGTCTCTATTCCCCCAGCCCTCTCGTTTTTCCAGAAGCAAGCCGCGTGGGCTTCGAAGCAAAATGCTCTGGAAGCTTTGCTTCCTGGTCCAGGACCCTTAGGCTGGAAAGCCTGACATGGGGTTCAAATCATTCACTCCTTTGGGAGAACCTGTGCAATGTAATTATTCTCCAGTTTGTGGATCGTCCACTCAGGGATATGGGACTTGAGTATATCACCAGTCTACCCCTCCTACCTGTCTCCTTGAGGTTTGTACTTTAGTAGAAAGTCTTTTCTGGTAGGTTCTAGTCTTGCATCAAGGGCAATTCTGCGAATATTTGTGATTTTGATGTGCCCTTGGGAGGGTCTTAGTACTCTGCCATCTTGTTTGATCTCTCCTAGGTCTTGGGAGGGTCTTACTACTCTGCCACCTTGTTTGATCTCTCCTAGGTCAGTAGGTTTTAATAAGCAGACTAATTTGGTTTTTCCCTTACTGTGATTTGTTGTTTCCCATTTGGTGTTCAGCTCATTCATTTACCCAACAATTATCTTTTTGAGATCTATTACAGGCTGGGGCCTATTCTGGGTGTCAGAGCAGGGAACAAGATAGGCAAAGTTGCTTTTCTCATGGAGCTTACATTGTAGTAGGAGCAGGGACGAAAAAAAAAATGACACAAGGATATAAATTAATACAGTAATGACTGCTTTGAAGAGAGAAAAAGGAATAAAGTAGCAGCCCGTGACTATTGTAGAGTTGATAGTCAGAAAGGTCTTGTGTGAAGAAGTGACCTTTAAATGGCCTATGAGCCAGTTTATATAAGATTTGGGAGAACATTTCAGACAGGAAAACAGCAATTGCAAATGTCATTAGGTAGAAATGAGTTTTCCTGGGCTCCAGAAACACAGAGAAGGTCAGAGTGGCCAAAGCATAGCTCTCTACAGAAAGAGAGTATGAGATATAGTCAGTATGGTAGGCAGGTCACTAAGATAGCTCGTATGGTCATGTGGTTAGGAATTTGGAATTTTGGCTAAGTTCACTGAGAAACCATTAATATAATCTGATTTATACTTTGTAAAGCTCCCTGCTTTACGGATTGCAGAGGAGGACAAAAATGAAGAAAACCAGCCCTAGGAAAAAGATGCCTTTTGCTTGGTTTAGGATGGTAGTAATAGTGGTGAAGAACTACGAAAGGGTTTAAAATGTATTTTGGAGTTAGAACTGATAGGAGGTGATGTGAAGCAGTGAGAGAAAGAGTGGATCCAGGAGTGACTTTCAGGCTTTTGGCCTGAGTCATTCAGTGGATACTGGGGTCATTTTTGAAGACAGAAAACCCGGGGAAAGAACAGTTTAGCGGTGCTAATGGAGATTCTTTCATGTTTGTGGACTCGCATTTTTCTCAAGTGCATTCATTAGCTGGGATATCTCCTTGTGACTCTCATTCTTTTATTTATTTAACAGATATTTAACAAATGTCCATCAGATGTCATACACTATACTAGACAGTTGATGTTTCCAGTAAAAACGAAGATGCAGCCCCCTACCCTTATAGAACTGCTAAACTAATCAGAGAAATAGACATGGTAATTAAATAGGCATACTATAAAACTGCAACAGGGATTAGTGCCAAAAATGAGAGGTAAGTAATGTTGTGATACGCTAGAATAGCGTGATTTGACCTAGTTATGGAAGTCTTGGGAGGTCTCTCTTAAGAAATGACATTAAATTTTAAAACAGATCAGTGATCTTGTGAAGAAGGAATAACTGTAAGGGGCTCATGACAGGAAGAAATTGACCAGATACTTGGAGCTGATAAAATATGGGTCTTAGCCTGAATTCCTTAACAGCAGAGCCTGCAGCAGTCAGGATATGGGCTACTAATTTATTAGGGAGTAGAGTCCTCATAAATTAGTATTAGGCATTAAGGGAAAGGGAGAATGAGGCAGGGAAAAAGTGAGAAACTATTAATAGAGGATGCAGTATTCCACTGGTCACTGTTAAATGCAAACGACTGCTGTAATCCATGGGACCATCCTGTTAAAGGGAGGTGGGAGGGGACATGGGAAAAGAGAAAAGGTTGGCATCTATCCACCAGTTTCCCTGTCTTACTGTGTAAACCTTTTCTCCATGGGGTGTTACTTCCTCCATGAGCAGGGTTCCGTGGTATCTCATGCCATAGTAGGAAGGGAAAAAGCCTGCCGGCAGAGTTTCGTCATGAGCACCCCACCACCCCGCCCTTAATCTCCACCTGGTTTTAGTCAGCTGTAGTCCATGCAGAGCCGCTCACTCCAGCAGCGGCTGCTACAAGGCAGACAGCACCCAGAGTATCCGAAGCAGGGCATAAGAGGCATTTGATACAATCACTGTAACAGGATTGGAGGGAGGAAGGGAAGAATGGTATATGATGGGAGCTTAGGAGGAGTCTGACCATGCTGGGTATTGAAGAACAATTAAAGATTTTTGTCCCTCTCTTAAGGGCACTGGAAAGGCATTTTGGGGGATCAGAATAGGGATGAAAGTGGTCCAGCTAATGTGTTCACAGGGCAGAGCAGGGGGCTGATCCAGGAGAAACACAGGCAATAATCTCAAGAGAATTTAGTGTAGGTTGAGTGTAGGGGAAAGGAGAAAGCTGGATATGAAGGATGATGCCTAGGTTTGTGGCTTGAGTACTTGGATGGACGCTGTTGCTTGAAATCACTGAACTGTACAGTTGCGGGGTGGGGGGGTGGGGGGAGGTGGATGGGAGCTGAACAGCTTTGGAAGGGGGCAATTGGCCTTCGCTTTTGAAACACTTCTCCCCCAGTCATCAGAGAGCAGACATCAAAACTTCAGATATAAGAAGAATTCTGGGATAAAAATACCTTGAAGTCACTGGCCTGCATGTGACAATCAAAGCCTTGGATGGATGTGACACTTCAGGGAGACAATAGAGTGGGAAACAGACTTGGAATTGAGTCTACCAAGAACTTCAGGATCCGGTAAGTTTGGATGTCCTATTTTCTTCCTGGAGAATTGCAATGTAGTAAATGTTACCGCTTTTTAGGTTGCATACAGTGAGCTGTTTTCTAGATACAGTTTGGCTTGTTTTCCCCCATTATATGTTCTGACCACATTATCTTAAAACCAAGCAGTTTCTAAACATGATCAATAAGTCAGCTTTGAACTCAACCTCACCTTTCTAAAGCATTCCTAAGAGGAGTGAGGGAATAAAAAATATATACTGTATGTAAACTGCTTAGTACAATTAAAACACTTATAAACTCACAGTTGTCCACAGATTGTCTGCTGAGCCACAGGCTGTGCCCCATCCTTATTTGAAAGTATAGCATATTGGATGTTTTCTTGCAAAGCAAAAGTTCTACAGTGTTCTAAAAGCAATCAGATGAATATACATTCATCTTAATTTTACATTATCATAAACAGAGAGTTTATTGGCATATTTGTTTGTAGACGTGCATGATGTTAGATGGTCTATTTGTAAATATAGTCATTCAGATCAAAATCCTTTATTCATCCCTCATTTACGCTCTACTAATTTATACTTCATTTATAGATATCCCAGGATCAGAGGCAACTGAAGTTAAGGTTGATATGTAAATTCTGATTGTTCGTATCTGGGTAGAAAAGCATACAAACGATTTTAGAGTACATGAAGGCGAATGTTTATTTGGAAAGTTGAATTTCTTGTATACTGAAAATATTTTTTAAACCAAACATATCCATAAGTGTAATACAGACACCACCTACAATACAAACACATTTTAAGCAAGTTCTACTATGAATATTAACCTAAGCCAACAGAAAATCAGGGAAACCAGTTTCTACATACCTTTTACCTGTTTGGGGTTGTAATCAAACAATTTAAGATATAAAGAAAGCTTTGGCTCAACCCTACTTATTTCACTATGGGCACACTGGGATAGATACGACCACAGATTACAAACCCAATCCCTTTATAATCAATGTAAAATTGTTACAAGACTCATATCTTAATGACATGTAAACATTTTTAGGGTTTCAATTGGCAATTATGCTTTAAACGCTTAGAAAATCACACCAACATTTTTCATTTTTGTTCTCTCTTGAGCTCATCTCTTCCATGAATATAAAGTAGGAAAAATATTATTTGAGAATTCCAGCATAATTTCATTGTGCTTTACACTTTTATAAACATGGATACATCTAAAATATCAGATGCCTTTACACCAACAGAATAAATCCCCCAAATTCACATTTTCTTATAAATACACCTGCAAAATTCGTGAAAAACCCTTTTGTATAGCAAAGACCCTGCTTAATTATCTTCGGATTAATAATTTTTGATGGCATGTGCAAATCATACTGCTCATGGAACAGTAGAGTGCGTTCCTGCAGATTTGGTTTTCTATAAAAATATATTTATGTGTTCACAGGAAACAAGTTGAGTTGGTATGTGGGGGGTGATTTTCGACATATCATTAGATTATAGGTTTATGAAGTTAGAAGGCATCTTAGCTTTTATCATGTTCAAATCTTTCTTCATAAAAAAGAACACCCTGTGATGGAGAGAAGGTAACAGAGAATCATTAGCACTTGAGAGAGTTTGAAGCAAACGGGTCAAGCAACTTGCCTACGGTTTATGTACAAAATCAGTGCTGGAACCAGGAAGAGAACTTGGATTTTCCCAGCCCTTGGACAGCTGTCTAGGAACTGATCCCCACCAACAGGCCTTGAGATTATATACAACCTATTACATTGAAATCCTATTGCCAGGAGACTAGAGAAAGTTAGTCATGGACCTATTCCTTCTGTGAAGCTTCCCGGTAGAAACCACATGCTATTGAGAAAAGGTAATAGAGAGTGATAGCAAAAGGCAGTGTGAAAGCAATCTCATTTTTCAAGTCCCTAAGTTTTGGCCGTTCAGAAAATATGAGCAGGAACATCCTTCTTACTCACGCAGTTAATGGAGAACTCTACGATCTAGGAAAAGCAAACATTTCATGATTTGTGTTTCCTTCTAACTTAAAGGTAATTAAATTGATAATAAATCTAATCCTAATGCACTTCTGAGATTATGTCCATCCTGCAGGATTCCGTTAAAACCTTGTTTAGCTGATGACAAAGAAGAACAAGTGGAATACTAGTGGGACTAAACTCAGAAGTCCTAACCTTGGCCTCATCGATAGCTGAGTACCCGAAATTCCTCCCAGGTAAGTCAAAACATGATGATTCTTCCTTGAGAAAAGTTGTGCCTTAAAATTAGATGGGGATGAAGCTCAAGGGGCCGGATGGGTGGGTGCGTGCACCCTCAGAGTGAGGGTGAGGCCCCACAGTAGTGCCTTCCCCCTTTGGGAATTCTTACTTCAGGGGTGTGGTCAAGTCCTGAGCCCACAAAGAATTGTTTTAAATAAGACCTTCTTTTGCCGCCTATCCCTTTTGGAGGACAGACAAGGTTTAAAACGATCATTAGATAGTCCATGCATTGGATTATTGCATTGACCATTATACACACTCCCTCATTTTAGTGCACAAGAAAGAGCGGGCTACATACATCAAAGTCAAGGGTTTAACAATATACACCGATGGGTACAGTTCAAAAAATAAAATCTGTGAGTCCATTTCACTTAAACATAATTAAGAAATACACTGAAGAATGTTGAGGTAAGGTTAAAAATGTTTTCCATAAAATGAGAAGCTCCACACTGAATTTTACTGACAGACACGCATGCACTGTCCTTCATAGTATTTCTAAACCGTTTCCATGTATAATTTTAGAGGGACTAGTAGCTCACGTGCCAGGAAATAAATTCCCTGACTTTGTACTGGCTTGGACAGAAGGCGAACATAGAAAACTATCCCCCCACCCCAAGATGTTTAAAGTGTGATACAGGCAAAACCTATGTATAGGAATTTCTACTGTAAACAGTTTTCCTTTTGGGGGGCTGGGGTAGGAGCACACTCAACAACAAAAATTTACTTTGAAACATTCCCCTCAATATTTATATGATGATATTTTATTTTGAGATGGTGGGGAAAAGCACATAAGAACAGAATCCAAATGCTTTGTACAAAGTCTTCAGTTTGGGAACCTCATGTGATTGGTTGGAGCTTTGGAATGATGAAACATGGTGCATTACTATATCCCCCAGCTGCACAGACATGCCTGTTAATGTTCTTTTTCTCACTCCAAAATAAAACAATCTCTATTTTAAATTGTGTAAATATTAACATCATATTTACAATGCATTCATGAAATATATGGAACATAACATTATACAAACATAGAGAAAAGGTACAGGCAGTCAGTTTAGAAATGGAGCTATTAAATAGATACCAATTATTAGACCACAGCATCACGGACACCTCCTGCCTGTTCTTTCATAAGATAACCTGACCACTGCTTCTTTTGCAGCTGAATTGAGTCCAACACAAAAACACAAAAAACAAAGATGTTTTTTGTAGATGTGATGAGTGACAGAAATTACAAATTCACGTTGAAACTGAAAAAGGTAGAATTCTGTTTAAGCATGACCGTCTCTGGGCAAAGAGTTAGGCGCTCAATAAATACTAGTTGATCGTTCACCTAAGACTTCTACTACTCAAATTTTAAATAATAAATTTAGACTGTATATATTCCACGAACTGTTTAAGTAAGACATTCATTCTCTTTACATTTTAAATAACCAGTTTGCTTACCATCTTTTAACCTGTCAGGAAGCGAAGTCACTAAGACAGTTCTCCGAGACGGAATACACATGTGCATACACAGAAAACCCACAAGGTAGCAACATCTCTGCAAACACAGTGAAGAGTAAAACCAGGCAAATATGGAGTTCACTGGATGGATACTTTGGATTCAGGTGAGGTGAATCTAAATACAGGATTTCTTTTGTGTTCTACATTTTGAGCACCTGGAAAAAAAAAAAAAACACAGGCGTGTAGTGCTAGGTGTTTTACTTTTTCAAGGCAGTGCTATTGTTCTCAACACAACTGCAGGAAGTTGGAATTCTGGATAGTCTTTTGCCACAATGTTTCTCTTCCTAGAGGAAAAGTTCTTGCTCCCTTGAAGCAGATACAGATGGAATGTTGGTGTGCACCGCTGATGGGTTTCTATGCTCTGCGTTTACGCTCGGAGTGGAAATGGTGCTGTAGAACTTCCATTGCTTTCCACCGATCCTTTCTCCTTCGATCCAGCATAGGCGCCAATAAATGACCCATCCTCACTGAATAGACCGTGGTCACCTTCTCCATAATCGACTAAGCTGTCGGCACTTTCTGTGGCCTGCATATCCCTGTTAAGGGAGCGAAGGCTTCCTTTGAGAGGTTTTTCATCGCTGTCACTAGCAAATAAAAAAGAAGAATTCGACAAAATCTAAGGTGAGGTATTCACGTAAAGCAAGACTCATGCACAAGTGCTAACAGGCTTTTACATTTTCTGGATATTCATATTAGCACTGAAGACGAGACAGGTAAATCCTGAATGACCCCTTCCACAAAGAAATGTTTAAATCGTCATTACCAAATTTGTGTCGTTCTGAGTAACTGAGAAACTCACGACCCTCCTGCTTCCCTTTAAAACTGAGACATGCAGATATCCAATCTGTTGATTACATGGAGAACAAATGTTATTTCCTTCCCTTTCATGAACTTCTGGAACCCTCGTCTCGAACTCAAGTCTCAGTCTTCTTTCTTTACCTTTGATCCTGCATGTTCCTCCAAATCCCTCCAGAAATGTCTCTCTTGTTTAGGTTAATCAATCAAATTCTGTTTCTTGTAACCAAAGAACTTTCTTGAGTTTCTAAACTCAGGTTTGTTAAATGAGAAAAAAAAAAAAAAAAAGCTGGCATTTTTAGAACAGAAATACTACAAGTATCCTACATTCATTTATGCTTTGCATTCTATTCAACAAAAGTCTGAGTTAGTACAAGGTCTATAAAATGATATAGTTTTCTTAATTTCTAGATGATGGGGTTTTTTTTAATATCAACTTCCATCACACTAGAAAGCTGTACACCAAATTAGAAGATTTTATAAAATTCTAAAAAAGGAAAATTTGGGAGAAAAATATAATTGCTGTGCTATTAGCACTTGAATGTGGTAGTCCCTGGTGCTGGTCATCCAATAGGTCCATATCTCAGCCTGCTGGAAGCGTGGCAGGATGATACTTCACTGCCCTCTGAGTTAGGCATTGCCATGGGACTTGCTTTGGCCAAAGTGAGCAGAGGTGACATATGTCACTTTCCAGCCAGTACTCCGTTTGCCATGTTCCATTTCCTCTGCTGTGCTGACCCCTCAGTACTCGCTCACCAGCCGGTGCTCCCAAGTGACCAAGATGGCTCGAGCCATCTGTGTTGCACACGCAACTTGAGAAAGAAAAATATATGGCGTTGTTTTCAACAGCAGCGTGACCCAGACTGTCCTGACTCTCATATAGTGACTGGCTCCCGAACTGGGCTGCTACAGTTATAAAAGCAAATACGAAGAAAACAAAAAGACAAAACGTGGCATTACCTTAAGGACCAGGCCACAAATAGCGAAGCAACTCTTACCAGAAGCTGGAAAGAGGAGAATTCACGTTATGTAACTGTCTCCTTGTGTAACTGTCTCCTTGCATAGTTTTCCAGGTAAACATGTAGTTTTGCGTAAAGAAAGATGATGGAAACTGTATTAACTAACAGGATGCCAGGTGAAAGCTTGCAGGGGACGATTGTACCCGTCTTTTTACAGCAGCAGCAAAATATGAGGGAATGGGTTTTAAATAAGGCATGTCTTCGTTTTTTCCTCATAAAATCGAACCAGTAATATCTATCTTTCAAAAGTATTTTCAACAGTTGCCATAGGCTCTCAGTGATCCCTGCCTTGTGGGATTTGAGTCACAATTTCCTACATTTGTATAATTCCAAGTTTTCTTTTTGTCTCTCTCCCTTCAGCCTTTAATGCTCCTTCTCCGTGGAAACTACCTCAGATGGAAGGAAGAAGAAGAAGTATAGTGCAAAGTAGAGCCTAGAAGGAGGCTCAGATGTACATCAGTTAACGCAGGATGGCTAATCAGAATACTCCACATCCCTGATTCTAGTCATGATCCAGGGTGAGGCCACTCAGAGCCAAGCAAGTCCATTATTTGATATGGACGCTGGTCTTGTGTGCCAAATGGCCATATACGCCTGGAGACTGTAACAGCTCCTTTGGCTGCAGTATACAGAGGACCTGACTGAAAACAGTGGCATCCTAGAAAAGAACAGGTAAGAAAAGAAGAGGTACCTACCTCATTTCAGATTTCTTGCAATTTCTCCTACGTGTGACACACTTTTATACCTTCATAAGTTTGCTCTGGTAGTTAAGAGTAACGCAGTCTTTTTCATCCTTTCCTCCTTTGGAATGGACCCTTCCCACAACTTCTCTTAGGCAGAAATGGCTGCTCCCTTTTCCGCTCTTATTCTCTTTCATTAATTACAGTTATTTACATTGATACTTTTTTCCTCTGAAGACTAGGTTCATCTTGAGGACATGCTCTGTGACTCAATCACCTTTTAGGTACACACCGTAGGTGCACAGGATACATGTTTATGGGTGTAAACTCCATACAACCTGGGTTCACAATGGCCACGGTGAGGAGAGACTACAAGCTGTTTTGGCTACTCCATCTATAGCTACTCAATCTAAATAACAGTAGTGTCCTCTGCATAACACCTTTCAAGAAAAGTGTCCTAGCACACACGCTACCTAGATAGCGGTTACATCCCCACCTCAGCACAGAGAAATTTGATTGGGCCACTTAAGGCCCTTTGTTTTCTTTTTAAACTATTCTTTATAGGAGTATTAAAATATAGTCCTGTAATCGTTAAGAACAAACACTTTTTTCTATTTGTAAGCTGATGATGAATATGTGCTCTGCTACATTTTTCAGTGGAGCGTAATGTTTACCTGTATTCACCAAAGGTTTCGTCTTTCACTGACTGAACTTCTGGGTCTGGATGCAGATCTTCCTTTTCTTTTACTGAAAAAAAGGGGGAGGGGAGTTAATACAAGTAATTTTTAAAGACATATTGAACAGTGCTGTTGACAGTGAAAGTCAGGTTTGTTGTGGTGTACAAACTAAGGGGAATTAAGAAAAAGTCAATCATTTGGTGGTTCTCTCTCTCTTACTCCAAACTGCCTCAGTAAGCAGAATATTCAAGTCTATAATGACACAGAATAAATTAGATTTATTCTGCATCGTGGGAGACAGGCCCAGGAGGCTCTTGCTTCACTTTACCAGGAAAACTCAAACTAAAACCCTTCTTCATGGCACCTTTTACTACTACTTGCCGAGACCTGGGAGTTTCTCTTAGTTGTCCTGAAAATGAAATGCTGACTTGTTTTTCTTTTCTGGGCACGATTTGAAGAAGCTTCTTCAGAATTGGGATAGGGCAACATTTCACAAATGACAATTCGTTGGGACACTCAAAAGGAAATGCTCTCTCTCTCTAAAATTACTTAGAGCATTCATGAGTCATTAAAAATCTAATTCCTAACAAATTCAGTCTAAACAAGAAAAAACATGTATAGTGGCATAAATTCTGTGTAACTTGACAATTTAGAAATTATTCTCTTGTTTGATTGTGCAGTATACATCATGGGCTCCCCAAAATATTTTGCTGGATGAATCGTAAGCCAGTAAAAAATTTCACACTGATCTGAACATCAACAAACGAATAGCACTGGGATCTAAATCTTTCCCCCTATGTAAAAGCATCATGAATGCTAAGCAAAAATAATAATAGTAACAACAGAACATGTATATCTGAAAAAGACAAACGAAATTTGGAAATTGAATGAAATTAAAGCCAAGCCAGATATTAATAATTAATTAATTCAAGAGGCAGTGTATCCGATATATGTCATGGTAATAAGAAGTGCGTTCCCAGCACTGGTTAAGTTTAAGTAACACAGTTGACTAGCAGAGCCAGTACTATTAGAATGGACTAATGCAAAACATCTCTGGGTCATGAATGTGTAGAGAGGCGTACTATAAATGGGTCCTTCTTTAGACATTAAAATATATGTGTGTGACTTAGTAACAGGTCTTACCAACATCTGTGATACTTTACAGATAGAAAATAGAAGCTTGGAAGTATTATATGTCTCCCTAGAGCCTATTTTATATACTAGAAACAAGAAAGCAACCAACCAGAGATAATATTCTAGACCCCACGTATTCCCTTCCGTTAGTTAATATAGGAATTTTTCCCCCTCTCAGTATACTGTACACCTAATGTTCTAATATCAATTTGACTTAAATGTGTAATTAAAAAAATTAAAGATGTCTCTGAAGACAGCCCCCGAGAAATTAAAGACAATTTAATAAAATTCAAAGTCATATTAAGAAACAACTTTACCTGAGTACTTTCCACCTTTGTTCCTCTTCACAAAGCAAACAGTCAACAACATTAGGGTGAGAAGAGCAATCGCACACATCAATCCAATAAACCAGCCTTGCGTGGAGATGTCATCATATAAACCAGCATATTCTGTTGTACAAAGAGAAGTCACACGTTGAGCGCTAGAAACGGTCTTTGGAATTATGTCCTTCTGGGGAAAATTAAACACCATTTTTAAACATACAAAATAGCATCAATTTTATTTTTTCCTTGGAACGACCCTAGAGGGAATGTGATTCGAAGGACATTTCATTGGGAGAATACTGATAAATCAATCATTTAATCATTTTTTAGAAAGGGCCCTCTCAAATTGCGTTTGATTCTGTGGATGAAAACCAAAGACAGACAGTAGAGACAGATGCAGTTAAATACAGCAGCAACAGCAAGCAAGCAAAAGCACAAGCTGCCTCGGTTACATGCAGGTTGCTATGGAGACGCTGGGGTTTTGGTTGTGGTTTACTTTTGGGTTTCTGTTATTAACACACGTTAATTAGCAGCAGACATTTTTAGGCAACTACTCTGGTAAAAACAATAAGGGATAACTCGGACCTTGATGAAACATTTTTTGTTTTGACAATTTTAAAATGCTATGCCAAAACAAATGGAAACTACTGTTGTTATAGCTAACATACTTCGTATTTTTATCTTTAATATAGGAAGTATGTAACATTAAATAATCTACAGAACACAGATGTATTGTCTAAGATGGCTCCAAACAGAGTCTCATTTCTCACCTCTCCCTCTTGTCTCAATTACATCTTCAAAAATGCTATTGTTATCAACCCAATTCTTAGTCAATAGGCGAACTATATGTTCAGCTCCCGGCTCAAATGTCTCTACTGGGTGAATCTTTTGAGTAAGATTTACTCCTTCTGATATCTTCCCGACACGTTTACCTAAGAAACGTACACAGTTAAATCATACGAATTGTCATCACTGAAAAGTAGGACATGAAAAGTAAAAAAGTATTGTTATTTGAGATGAATAAGAGAGCCCTTTGTAGCATTTTTTTCCTCAGTTTCTGAATTATCAGAAGATCAAGAAAAGCAACGTTTCAAGATTTTCTTTTTTAATATGCTGATATGGAGTAAATGAAATGAACTGAATTCATGTCCTTTAAAGACGATGCACTTACTTATTAATGAAGTGATACTATAAATCCGCCTGGTCATATGAATGGTTTAAAACCAAACACGGGCTTCAAAAAACTATACAATGTCATCCGTTGCAATTTGGACTTTCACAAACCTAGCAGGGACGGAATATGGCAATTTTGGCTTATAAGTGAAAGCATATGGCATTAAAGTCTTAACTCTGTATTATTACTTCTTTTTGCTTTGGTTGTCTTCATAAATATTGGTGGAATAGCATCACAGTATGCTCATATATTAAATATTTGAAAATCGTAGGAACTTAAGCTACATAAAAGTGCAGGTTTACAGGTACATTTAAATGAAATGCATTGAGATTTTCAAAGTGAGAAATTTACACGTTTCAAGAGAAACGTGAATATGTCAATATATTAATTGTAGAATATCAGCAGATAAAAATATGACTCAAGTGTCATTAAAATATACATTTAATGTCTAATACTATAACAAAATACCTAAAATATTTTTCCTTTTGATCCATACTTTTGCTAAGAATTAACTCAATTAAATAAATGTAAACCAAGAAATGTTAACAAGTTATTTGAAAATGAAATATATTCCATGTTGAGAATATTAGGAGTCATTACACTGTTTTAAGTGAGAATGTGTCACACGTTAAAATTTAGTTACAACTTTTCACCACAGAGTAAAAATTGATTAAATAGTTACTGATAACACAAGGAGCGTTAAAAAATGGCACCATGGGAAAAATAAGACCAGTTATATTAGCTGAAGAAAGCCTTCAAGATTGAGCATCATTGAAACAAAACACAATTAATTTTGCCCTTGAAAAACAGAAATTTAGTGTTATATTAAGTAGCGCAAGCTTTTGAAAAATAGAGCAAAGCAAGGGTTTTATTCAAACCAGTAATGACACAAAAAAGAATATTTCTGATTAACTCCATTTTTCCCCCAGTTAGAGTGACAACCAGAAAATGATGGGGGAAAAAAATGCTTGTGTATCAAATCCCATTCTCTGATTTAATGCCAGATGACCTTAAAATGTGCCATCTATGCAAAGAGAACAAAGATACACAGAAATAATTCCAATTTGCACAGAAGTTATCATTTTTAGAGAATTTAGTGATAGCAAGATGGATTTCCTCAATAGAAGTATATATATATGTATATTATTTTTTCTCTCTTTTTCTCAAAGATCATGCTGAAATTGAGTGGCAGAAGGAGATTACAGTTTCTTTCCTGTAAATATGGCAAGATAGGCCTATAGAAGAAAAATCAGTGTCAACTAGGGAAGGGGACAGTATCTGAAAATGCAGGATCCTGAAAAAGAGCACAAACATACTAGTAAGAAACATTTTCAAATTACAATACATGAGTGAAGAAATCTGCTGTAAAACACTCAAGCACATTAGTTATATCTTTAATTTGCAGAAAAGATGTAGCGTCATTTATAAAACCACATAAACAGCATTTTCTACCCTCTGAAAAGAGTTTGTCAAACATAAACACAACCAAGCCCAAATTCTCCAAATATTTCCATAGATACTAGAATGCCTAGCTATTGTAAGGCAATTTTGTGAATTTCTTTTCTTACATGCTTCAAATTGGCAGGAATGGGATTAGCATTTCTGACACAGACTATGGTCTTGGTCTTAAAAAACAACCGCCCTCTCCATGCCCTAAATTCTGATTTAGAAAATACTAAAGTTGCATGTTTACATTACCACTATTCTGACTTACTTTCTTTGTGTTGAACACTTGATATCCGTTTGAACTCTTGAGAAAGAAGAACCTTTTAGTTACTAGAAAGTTTTCAATCACCATCTTTAAATCTACCTCTTAGGAGTAACTAAATGAGTTCTTCATTTCACGTGGTGTCTAATCCATCCTTGGGAATAACTTGTGGGTTTTTGGGAAGAAACCATTTTGAATATATACATATATATTTTTTCCCCATAAAAGGGAGTTTGGAGTATTTAGGGAGTCTGAGGAAAACATAAGCTCTTCATTATTTAGCTACAGTAGGAACAAAATGAGAGGAAGAAACAAACTGACAATAAAGGTCACAGCATAACCATTCACACAAACCCATTGATTTTATACTGATTCACAAACTTCAATACATTTCCATATGTATCTTTTATAAATGATAGACAATTCAATTTTCTTCATTATTATTTTCTTTTTCCATAGTCTAAAAATTGGGAAAGCATCAAGAACACATAAATGACACATAAATGACTTATTTGTATTTCCCTTCCTACCATCTCCCTTCCTACCATCTCCCATTTCCTTTTGCCTGCCTCAGATATCCCTCTAAATCTGATGGACTTGAATTCTACACAAGGCCCTCTTTTTAAACTTATTAGTGTGTATATCCATTCCTCCAATCCATTTCCCTTTCTTGTTCTACCTTCTTATTTTCTCTCCTGATGCCCTGTTGATAACATAGAAAGCTTAGTAAAAATACCGCTAAAATCATAATTGGAGAAATAATTTGGGAAGGGAAATGGCCTGAGTTGGGGGGAAAAAAAAAAAGTGCAATTGCATTAGGAGAATTGTACAAATGAAACCAGAGATTTATGAGCCATTTCAAGCTAGTTACTTGGCATCAACCAGGAGAGAGTAAACTAAAATTGATAAATGAATCAATGTATATATGAGTCATGACATGGAGGTGAAATGTCTTAGATCAGGGTTGCTGATCAGCGTTGCAGAATGTCTACCAGTGCAAGAGGCAAATATTTTCCTGTGTGGAAACATTTCCACAAGAAAAATATCCCTCTACTAATCTTACGAGTAACTTTTTGACCTTATATCCCCCTATTTTAATTAAGCAAAATTATAGTTCCTGACCTTCTATACACTAAGGCTATAGTTTGATTACTGATGTGTAGAAGTTCATACATTGAGGCAATGTGAACTTTCGAAACAAGATAAATTCTCTACGTCAGTGGAAAACAGAAGGTCAGACAGACTGAGATCACAATCATTTCTAATTTACAGTGACGAGCATGATGCAGCCCTTTCAGAGCAGTTTAAAACATAGCACGCATAAACCTCCTGTACTTACTCCCTTCTCCTAACGTGGAGCTTTCCTCGGTGATGGGTCTTCCACAGCCCTTTGAAGTGCAAGCCCTCAAGTAGAATTTGTACTTGGTAGTTGCACTGAGGTTTGAGAGACGCCAGCTGGGCTTTGATGGAGTTGTAATGTTGATATCATTTAGTTCTCCAATCTCATAGGTGTCATTTACTAAAGAAATAAACAGGCATATCAACGGCTCAAATTTCACAGCCTTAACCATTCAAGTTATGTTGTCTCTTCTTTTTGCTTCTATGTATGCTTGTGGTCTGCAAGATATTATCTTAATTATTCAGAGCTATCAACTTACTTAATTCTCTGAGGTAGGTGTAATTATTATGATGTATTATACATGAGAAAATTAAGGTCTAGCAACAATAAACACCTTGCCTAGACCTAGAGCCACTAACTGGCAAACTGGGATTTGAATCCAAACTACAGCCTTTTAACTCCAGAGCCCATGTTCTTTTTTTTTTTTTTGCGGTACGCGGGCCTCTCACTGTTGTGGCCTCTCCCGTTGCGGAGTACAGGCTCCGGACGCGCAGGCTCAGCGGCCCAGCCGCTCCGCGGCATGTGGGATCCTCCCAGACCGGGGCACGAACCCGTGTCTCCTGCATTGGCAGGCGGACTCTCAACCACTGCACCACCAGGGAAGCCCCAGAGCCCATGTTCTTAATCACTATGCCATACTGCAAAATCACTCCAGCTTTACCACATCTATTTAAAATGATGAACTTTCCCCCATTATTATATTTTCATTGAACCCTTAAGTATTTTTTAATCTCCCTCTGGTGTGATAATTTGGACAATAATCTACATGAGTCTTCTATAGTTTCTGGTTGTGGCACCAAATAAGTACTCACATATGTAGACTCAAGAAACTGATAAATTACATATTTTTAAATATCTACTGTATACTAAGCACTATGTAAAGTGATATATGGAAAAAGATGATTTAGATAGTGCCTTTCAAAGAATCTGCCACATAGCAAGATCATGATAGTTGTGCAAGGGCACAAAGTACTGTAAGATTGCCATAAGCATAATACAAGAGATGAAATGGTATTTCCAAAACTGTGCAGCCATTAGTGGTAAGAAAACGACTAGAATAAACACTCTTGACTCTCAGTCCAAGAGACCATAAAAAAATACATTTACTCTTTAACATAAAAATGCCTCCATTGGTCTATATAATGCAGCGATATGAATGGAAATGAAAAAGAAACTAATAATCCAAACACAGGAAAGAAGAAAGTAAAATAATCACCATTTGTAGATTATTGGAGAGCATTCCTGTAAAATACCACCAATCAATTGAAAAACTACCACAGTCAATGTAAGAATTCAGGAAAGTACAGAGAGAGCTCTCATGTACACACTCAAAAACAATTTAGAACATATAAGAGCCACAAAAATATATAAGCCACCTAAAAATATTTCAATCACTTAATATTAATAGAGAGCAGAATAAGTGTATAATTATATCATTTTATTAAAAAATCCACATATCAAGTAGTACAGTAACCACTACAATTGTTACTATTTCAGCCTTTTCTCTATATATTCTAAGAACTTGTTTTAAAAATAAATTTATATATTATATACAGATCAGCATGAAGGTTAGGATTTAATGTTGAGTTTCTTCATTATGAGGATAAAGATAAGGCATATCTTTATCAAGCAAAGTGACATTTGGAAAGTCTTCAAATACTTCTTCAGTGCTTTCTACATGTTTGAAATCCAGTTCATGGAATAGTGTAGGCTTTACAGTTCAGCATCTAGAATGACTGAGCTGGGTCTGAATCCTTGTGTAACACTTATTTTACTGCACAGCTCTCTGTAAGTGAGCTCTATATGCTTCTCGTCCATAAAGTAGTGATGGTACATACCTCATAGATTTCCTCTTTTAATGAAAAAAAAATGCAGGGAGAATTCTTAGTACTTACTGATCCTGCTATATACCAAACACTCAAAGACGCTAAAATGCTGCCTCTGTTAGGGTTATGGCTGTATCCATTTAATCATAGGTACCTAAAACAGAATAGGCCATCAGAAGCTAAAGCTGGTACCTGACCTGAATTGCTGCAAGCCTTGAACTGACTGATGGCAGTTCAGGGCTATGATCAAGTTGACTTTTGCAAGCAGTGTAGACTGGGTTTCTATAGTCCTGGTGTTTTTGTTGTTTAGGAATTCATGTCTTCAAAGTTTAAATTTTTTCCATGAGCTCAGTCCCCTAATTTCCATTTTACGATGATGCCTAGATTTGAAAACTATTGAAGATGGGAGGCGTTATGATTAAAATGAGCTGATTTCATCTAAACATGTTTGTTTGATTTTTTTTTAACCTAACGGCACAGCAGCATAGGGGGAGAGCCTAGGGTAATGGTCCAAAGACAGCTTCTTGTTTCTCTCAATATTACATGACTGTACCACTAGGCTACCAATAGAGGATTCTCAAATACAAATAGATGCAGGGTTGAGATTGGAAACATGCACCAGAGACAGAACAGGCAGTATAGTGTGGAAGTTAGTGCGCTTTGAATCTCCACTACATCATTAAGTTTTTCTTTGCGTATTTCCTAATGCTCAAAGCCTCTTATATATACGTATTAAATGCATGTTTTCTGGTACCTATTAACATACTGCTTTTCTTCTAAAACAGGAATTGGCAACCTTTCCGAAAAGGACTAGATTGTAAATATTTTAGCCTTTGTGGGCTATGCAATCTTTGTGGCAACTACTCAGCTTTGCCACTTTAGTGAGAAAGCAGCTATAGACAAATTTAAGTGAGTGGACATGGCCGTGTTGCAATAAAACGTTCTTTATACAAACAGGCAGCAGGCTGGATTTGGTCTGCCAGCCGGTTTACAAACCCCTGTGCTGTAAAGGAAGTATGCCAGCTTACAAACCATGAACTGGATTCTCAGCATGGTAAACCAAGTACGCAACCAGGAAAAATGAAACATTACTAGGCAAATCCAGTTCAAATATGTACTTACTTATCTGGTACTGTAATAGATAGCCAGTTAAGTTTCCATTTAATTTCTTAGGTAGTCCCCAGGATAAAGTGGCAGTGTCTTTATCAACTTTGATGACCTTGAGAAAAGTTGGCTTTTCAGGTACTGGAAAACACAAGGTCAACAACAGACACTCATAAATTGGTAAATTTCTTTTAAAAAATTACAGTTTATTAAATTGAGAAGCTAACTCATATGACATAAGTACAGATTAACTAATAAGGGAGGAAGTGTCTTGGCCATTGGGATATTTACTTGGTTATTTATTTTAAATTGTTATTTATTTAAAAATTGGATATTAAATTTGTTAAATACATCGTTATTCTGCATCGTTATTCTCTCACCTCCTTCTGGTGTTTGAAATATATAAGGCTCACTCTCTGGACCAGCACCTTTGGAATTATAGGCTAAGACTGTTAAGTGAAATTCACTAAAGGCATCTAGGGAAGGAACCATTCCATAGTTTCTTTGTCCTGAAAATCTCAGAATGTTTACTTCTTTAGGATATGTTCTTCCATCCAACAGACTTTTTGTTTTCCACCAATTTACCTGCAATGAAAATAGGAACGCTTTAACACATCAGCCGTGGTGACACATTCTCTTTTGGCTTCTTCTGGAATCAGTTCTTATTTACAGGAAATCTATTAATTCCACAGTGATAAGAAGAAAATCTATGATAAAAACCTGATATCCTTTCAGATGTCCATGTACTCTTTCCTTTGGAATTGTTGACCAAGTAACTTTAACTAATGTGCTGTTTATCACATCCACCCCATGGATCACTGGAGCTGTATCAGGATCTGTTAAGCACATAAGAAGGATTAGCTTTCAGTAATCTCCAAGCACGATCATTAAGATCATTTCCAAAAGGTGATCTTTCATGTTTTTTAGTCTGAGGAAAACACTTGTCTCAAATCAATTGCAAATGGAACCAAGAGTTTCTCATTACAGAAGAGTTTCAGGGTCCAAATAGGTTTCTAGAGAAGAGGAGAGCCTGGACCACACTGAGAAAAGCTCCCCGCCCTTCAGATGGATACAGTGTGGGCAATGTAACTGGAAACACTGGCCAGTAAAATTTTCTGCGGGCATCTGCCTCTGGAAACATGTGAGCTAAACTAATAATATAACTAAAATTACTTGGGATTTCGATGAATCTAATATTCATAAGAAGAGCTGACATTAATTGAGCATATTCTGTGTGTCAGACACTGTGCTGAGGGCCTATAGTGGATTGGCTCACATCATTGTTAGAACCACCCTATAAAGTGGTATTATTATCCCCATTCTACAGGGGAGCTAACTACACGCGAATAAACCAAACCCACCACAGCCAAGACTAATATATTAGTTCACAGTGAGAAGTCCTGTGTAGTGAGAATTTAGGTAGCAGGTGAACTAGACCTTCTTCTATTCTTGGATCGAAATAGTACTTTGGATACTGCAAGAACAATGAGAATAACTCCTACCGTGTACACATTTGGAATGCAGTCTTTCCTTTTTCCAATAATTTATTTGCAGCTGTTATTATGGTATAAATATTTAATAAGATCATATCACCAGTACCTCAAAACTCTGTGTGTGTGCATGCGCGCACGTGAGATTCCATATGCAAATCTGGGTGTGCACCTCATCTTCGTTAGGAAGGCTCCAGCTCTTAGGCCAGGGTGCGACAGCAGACAGCTATTAGGAAGTCCTTGACAAGTAAGGGTAGATGTGATTGGAAACCTTATGACAGTTATGCTGCTTAACTGTGGGCACTGCTGATTCCAAGTCTTTGATTTTCATGATAGAAATAGTTTTGGGAAACTGAATAAAATTAAACCTTTCAACATTCTTCCTTACCACCCTATACTGACTGATCGACTCTCCTGCGGTCAACCCTGGAGTAGAAACCGTGTGTTATATGTCTTTTCATCTCCTACAGCTAGTACATCCACTTTGCATGCAGTAGTCGCTCAAAAATATTCATCGACAGAGTGTAATATACTTGAGAGAAACTATTATTAAGTACTTGGGGTTTCAGGTGCACCACTTACAGTCTTCTCCAGAATACAGAATCACTGACTGAGGCTCAGGGCCAGAGCCCAGGTGATTGATGGCTTGGACCTGGACATCATATGGAGCATAGACAGCAGACGTCATCACCCGCAGGGTGTGGTTTGTGACTGTTTCTTCCTCCCACTCCACCGGGGCTCCCTGTGGTTTCCAGGTCACTCTGTACTCCAGTCCAGGTCCATTCTGCTCCATGGGTTTCAGAGGCTAAAACAGAAGGCCACACTCATCCCGTGTGATCACAGATATGCTGGGTCAGAGACACAGAAGCCACCCTAAGTGGCCCAAGAAACGCTGCAATAAAGGTATCATTCCTTGGGAGATCTTCAGTCCCCCTCTTTGGTTTGGAAATACTTGTGAAAAATGTTGTCATTCTGTAAATTTAACCTTGAAAGTTACTCCCTTACCTCCCCAAGTAGAGACTCTCACAATTTAGATGCCTGGATTATGCCTAACAGTTCACATATGAAAGAATTTACTAAGAGATTCCACAGAGGGTTTTAGCTTTTGTTTACACTTTGTTCTATATTCTGTTTTGGTGTTTTTTTCACTCGCAGAGAAGTTGCAGAAATAAAAAGGACATGGCCATGAATTCCAGGGATGTAAATGGGATTTTTTCCATGGCTTTTCAGTCAGAACTCTTTCTACCTGACTCCCTCCATCCTCCTCCATCTTCCTTCCAAGAGAAGAGAGACAGCAAGTAAATATTTTTGGATAATATGCATTTTTATACATTAGTACCCAGAAGATGTACTGCTCTCTACAATAAAATATTTCCCCAGCTCCTTGCCCATTCTCTTTCTATTTCTTTTACGAGAAAGCGCTTCCCACCCTCCACTTTATTTTGCTGTATAGAAATATATAATGGAGAAATTTCTCATATAGGAATTGGTTATTTCCACTCCAGTTTTTAATCGAACAGTACTTTAATTCAAAAAACATCAATGTGATTTAAACCATCTGTTTAATATCATAAAAATGGGAATGTTCATTTAAGTGAATCAGTTACACAGAATACATTAAAAATGTGATTTTAGTGATAGATTTATAAGGGTCACTTATATAAATAGTTTTGTCTGTATATGCAAGCGATTCAATAATATCATATATAGTGTTCTTACAGAATTTACAATGCTTCTGGACTCAGTCTACTTTACTAAAATACTTGTTAGACGGATTGGATGGAATTAAGTTGAAAGTATACACTAAATCAGCAAAATAATTTCAAGTCTATGCTTACTCCAGGGCGAATACTTAAATTAGCCAGGAGGAAAAAATATCTAAACAAAAACTTTCTGAGATTTTCATAGTCATTGTTTATGTTTTGCTTTCCAAGTTTTGCCCCAAGATATTTTCTACTCTCATATAGATATAAATTCACTGGAGGCTTTAGCATTGCCCGGATAAATCAGGCCACAAGCTTTTAGTTCCATACTACAATCTGCAATTACAATTTCCTTCAGTCCCAACTGACAATAAATGTGTACAAATACTATTATTCAATTTACACATGTTTTGCTTCAAGAAAGATAGTTACATTTGATAAAGCTCTCTGGAAAAACTTAAAACTAACTGTGCCACCAGAGGCAACACTTTTAAGAAAAATCTTACCTAAATCGCCAGCCTCCTTGGTGCCTAGGCTCCCAAAGAAACTGCAGGAATACTTCGTATTTGGCTTTCAGACAGTGGACAACAAAACCTCAGCAAATTCTCAGATAGGCCCCCACTAAAGATAACAGACCAGAGGAGCAATACGGAGCCAGGGAGGTGAGTGGTGGGGAAAGACCACCAGCCTCCCCTCTGCTCATGAAGCTGCTCGGAAGGAAGGAATCTATAAAAGAGGTTCTTAACTTGATGGCTAGGCATCTCTAGATGGGGTCCATGAGTGCCCTTCAAAGGATCTGAAAAGCCGTGAAACTGTTAGGAAAACTTTCTATGTATAACTTTCTAGAGCAAAACTATACTTCTATCGTATTTTCAAAGAGATCTATGAACAAAGCAAAGGTTATAATGACTCATCTAGAAACTGGACGGATTTTCTGTACTGCCTAAATTCATTTTAAAGGTGGTGGACTTTCTTATTATACCAGCAGTAGAAATAATAAATCCTAGGTCCTTTAGGAGTGAAACAACTTGGCTTTGATCATATAATCAGGTAACTGAAGCAGTTCCTATTTCCGGAACATTAGTGAATTGGGTTTTTGTTTGTTTGTTTGTTTTGTTTTTGTTCATCTGTTTTCTGGAGTCTTTGAGATTAGAAATTTGCTATTTTATAGAAGTTCAAATTTAACATAAATAAATTTACATCTAAGAACAAAGGGAAAAGTCAAGCAAAACTCATCATGGTATAATTATTTAACCAATCAGGGTGCAGTGGGCTCTTTTTCTGTTTTGAGGGATAGGATATTATCATTTTTTAACACTTAAAACACGTGAGTGAGTCATGACCTACCTAATATAAGAGAAGTGAATCTTAGAAGATAATGCTAACTAAAAAGACTAGTTCTATCCGTAAGTTCAAATTTAATACATTAAAAGAAATTTTGTATCCTTAATATTTAATGTGACACATTTATAAAGATAATTCATATATAATAGAACATGAGCTAAATAAAATAAACTGAAATTCATTTTTGACCGTAATATAAGGTTCACCCATTCAATGAGTAAATGCATATTCATTAACAAGCTACATACAAAAGTCTGTATATTATTTTCCTCCACTGAATTTTTCAAAATGGTATTGTTTTATTTCTCATGTATTTGCTTATCGTCTGTCTCTCCAACTAGATTATACATTCCAGGAGAACAAAGACTTTTTTTTAATTGCCATAAATAAACCAAGGACCTCATAATACATTGCTTTTATTCATATTTAATGCTAAAAAGAAAACATAAAACAAACAAAAATTAGGGACAACTAGTCTGTTCCTATTTAACCCTTTTGTGAAAGTTTTGTGTTTTTTTTTTTAAACAAATTGCTTCTCTCTGGTCATTATCTTGTAGACAGGAATTATTTTGTGAGTCAGTCTTTGGATGGGATCTGGTAATACGTTCACAGTGTGCGCTTGTCAACTTGGGGAATTATCTGGCATTTAACTCCTTTTTACACGATAATCGATGCAAAACAGTAACTGATGAGTAAATGTACTTAAACTTCACTGGTTGTGCTTATAGTTGTTAGATCTCTGACATTTCAAAATGATATGAAACACAATGGAATATATTATGAATATAATTGTCAACGTAGTTCCAAATCTGAGTACTTTCTTCCTCTGGTCAATTAATTACTAAATTACATGTCATTTACTCTTCAAAGACAAATTGTAAAACACTTTCATGGTATAATCCCATTCTTCCAAGAAGAGAGCATTAGTAATCAGTCTTATATATCTTTGGGGCGGAGGAGAAGAGTGATTTATGAATAAGATCATCAGTAAGAAGGACTGCAGATTCCTGCCCCCTTTTCATTACTGACTCAGGGCGTGGCATCTGGATAAGGTCACTAAACTGACAGTCCCAGCTTCTCCGGACAGAATGTAATGCTGATACCATGGAGCTACTGTAGCCCTCCCAGAGGAGTGGTGAGGATTAAGGAGCTAATGTTAGTGGAAAATGGTATACTTCTTTGAGGATCTGACCTGGTAATGATACACTATTACTGTCATCTAATCAATCAGTTATATCATCTCTCTTACAGAAATTTCCATGGAATTTAAAAGAAGAAGTGATACTCTAAAAGAATAAGATACTAACATAATTTCAAATTCTAAATTAAATAATCATTAGGACAATGTGGTAGCAGCTATTTACGGCCACATATTCAAGAAAATAATAATATTCTTGAATATATTTAGTTTCTGTATATTACCAATTTTTGTTTCAAATGTGTAAAACTTAATTTCACTGAAATGGGAATAAAGGGTTAGTTTTGACATAAAATTATTGACTACATATTTTGCAGGTATGGGCAATGTTGTCATATAAGACCAATACATGATGAAGAAAAAAGGAAATCAAACTTTGTACATTCTAAGATTATTCAGAAAATCACATCTGAAATGAGGTGTGGAAATAAATTAATTTATTCCAGCATACATTCAAAAATGTTTGTAAAATTCAATGAATTCAATGTCTGAAAACTATTATTAATCAGAATCTTTGGATGGGAATCTACTTTCAAGTAAGTTAAAATACTTGTTCATCAAACATGTCAAATAGAAGGGGAAAACAGCATTCCACTGTTACAGAAGAAATTTAGAAATGACATTCAAAAAAATTAAAGTCATCTGAGCAGATATAAGATTTTATGCCAAATTCAAGGAGGAAAGTCTATTTTAATAACTTTTAACAGAGATGTATGAAAAGAGAAAATGAGTAGGGTTTGAAATCCGAAGATATTCATGTTGAAATCCTAGCTCTGTTGATTTCTAGTTGTGTGGTGATGGGCCAGTCTATCTATCAGCCTGGACCTCAGTTTCTGTATCTAGAACAGAGTATTAATGATGCTCTCTTGACAACACTGTTCTCAGAATTTGAAATGAGTATGCAAAATGCCTAATAGTGCTTAGTAAGTGGTGACTATTCCTTGCGAGTCATCCTTTTGATATGAATAATCTTCATTAGCCTATGTACCAAAATTTACCGAAAGACTTTCAGTATTTCTTTGAATGGGAGACGATTTAGAATATTGGTAATAAAAATATTAGGAATTGTAAACTTTGGGGGATGGATTATAACAAAATCAACCTGTGTAACCTTTCTTAAATTATCTACCACTGTTAAACTCTATTTCACAACATTCTAATCATGATGATCTTTAAAATATACAAATAAAATATTTTTATAAAATATACAAATCTTAGCCCTTTGTTCTTAAAAGATATTATTCTATCATCATACTTAGCATGCGGACCTAAAAAAAGGAAAAACACACAAAGGTAATAAATAACACAGAAAGAATTCTCACCTCCCATTTGATAATCATTTCCTTGGGTTGAGAAGCTTGAACCCTTATGTTTTGTGGATTCTTGTCTGGAGCTGAAAAATTACAAGTATTAAAATTACTTTTTCCCACTGTATGGTCCATAGATAAATCATCATATCATCCCTCCTCCCACAAAAAACAGATTTTTAAAAACTTTGATTATATTTGTTTATTTCTATCTGGCCCAGTTTGAAAAAAGACTTACGGCAGTTTTCTTTTTTTCCCCAGCTGTACTGAGATATAATTGGCACATAACATTGTGTAAGTTAACACTATGTTAAGGTGTACAACATAATGATTTTAGAATGTATATATGTCACATATATATAATATTTATATGTGTATATTGTGAAATGATCACCACAATAATGTTAGTTAACACATCTGTCACCTCACATAAGCTTTGAAATATATATTTTACTTCAGGGAGTAAAATCGTGTTCATGGAGTGATATAGTGATTATTCAATGGAGAGTGGAAGGTTTTCTTTACCTGTCTTCATTTTAACCCTGCTCTTAAAAATCTAAACCCACTATTTAAATATACATTTTTAGTTTTAAATCTGCTTTACTTTTTCTATTAGAATTATTGTTAGAAATTTTGCTCTGAATATTTGCCTCTAAGTGAATAAAATTAAAGATCATGTATTAATATCAACAGCCAAGTTTTAGGGGCATCAAATAGGAAACAGCAGTTAACGTGCCCATGAAATATATTCAGATGGATCCATTTTATAAAAAAGGGCTAAGGATGGAGTTTAGTGCCAAGATGAACTTATACTAAAATCATGCAAGTACCTGATTCAGTTATTATCTCCCCTTGATTGTTCTCAATCCTAAAAGGGAATTCTATCCTAGCATATTTATTTCAGCCAGAGGAAAAAAAACCAGGCTATGACCACATTGATAACCAATCCCAATTCAATAATACAAATGTCAGCGCTGTCATTATTTTTTTGGTTTATAACATTATGTAAGTCTCATTCTTACAATATTATAGTTTGAATTCTGTATACACTACTACAGCATGCTCATTCTTGAGAATTTTAAAAAGCATCTTGGGAATTTAGATAGGTAATAGATATTCGTTTAGCTATTGAGATACAAAAATACACTAAATGGATAAAATTAATGACACTAGATGCAATGAAAATTTAACAAGCTGCCTATAACATGTCAAATGTTTTATTTCAGGAAGTTGAAATGAGGAGAAAAATAAAGAGAGAAAGTTGACTTTCTCCCTATATACTGAACTTCAATTTAGAACTTACTTTATGGTACCTGATTTTAACACAATACTTAGCTATCAGAAATTACTCAGAGTAATGCTTGTTCATGTACCTCCTTGTAATATCCTGCTATCTATCAAACATTTACATACGACTTTTGAGACTGATGTACTTTAAATTGTGTGCTGTTAAGTTTACAGAACTATTCAAGCTCTCTACTGGGAGAAATCTAAAATCCTACACCAGGTTATCAATCCTTTCCCTCCCCCACCACATTTGTTCAAAGATGCGACAGACTAAAACTTGTTAGGAAGTTGAGGTGTGAACTTACATACCTGCTGGGGGTGTTTCATGATGGTCTGATGGCTGGCTAGGCTGGCTTCTCCCTACTTCATTCACGGCTATGACCCTGAACTGGTATCTCACATACGGAGCCAAAGATAACATGACTGTTGTTTCCTCTCCTTGGACTCTAGTCAATTCTTCCCACCTTCCAGGTTCCTCTCTGTTTCCTTCAAATTCTACAATATACTCTGGCAGTAGGAACATAGAAAAACACATTAGAATAGATTGAGAATGTTTAAGTTATACTAAGATTTATATACAATATTAAACATTTTAAAGGATGTTCTAAGGATAATCCACCCTTGGTGGTATTAATGGCTTTAATATTAATTTTAACTCTGGAAACTACAGTTATCCCAAGTCTTCCCTACCGCTAATATTGCTGTTGTGATCATCTCCAGCCTCCCATGTCAGCCGAACACTTCTGTTCTGTCTTTCAGACAAGTGAAGGTTTTCTGGCGGGTCCGGAACATCTGATTAATAATGAAAAATGACGGTGAGGAGAAGGCAGATTATTGCCTTTGTCGATCCCACTTCCTCACACTCAGGCACATTGCAAGCCCCCTTCCCCTCGGGGCCCCTGTCTCCACTCTGAACTGCCAAATCTCACCAATCCTTCTGGTTCTATTTCAAATGGAAGGAAGGGTGGGAGGGAGATGCAAGAGAGAGGAGATATGGGGATATATGTATATGTATAGCTGATTTGCTTTGTTATAAAGCAGAAACTAACACACCATTGTAAAGCAATTATACTCCAATAAAGATGTTAAAAAAAAAAAAAACCAAAAAACAAATGCAGCTTCCTTCACATCTGTACATTCCTGCCCTACTGTATTTACCTCACTCTATGGTGATTCCCAGTTCTCAAGGGGCCATCTTTGACCATCGGCATCAGAATTGTTTTTTAAGGAGTAGTTATTAATGATGAAGATTTCTGGGCCCTATTTCTCTGGCTTACTGAAAGAGCTGGGCCCAGGAGTCTGCATTTCTAAACAAATGTCCTGGTAGATATCATGAACAATGAATTTTGAGAAACATGAACTTGATCAAGGAGACCAGTATCTTCCAGCTCATATGCTTCTTTATATGCCTGGTTCATCTCCTGTATGCGACTAAACGGATCTTCCAGAGTAGGAACCATATTTTATTAATTTTTGCACCACCCACAATGCCTTGCACATAAATGTTTTGTGACTAAATAATTAAGTGAAAAATATATTATCACTTCAACCATGCATCTAATTATCATATTAGAGCAATAAATTTAGGCCCTATGACTACAGAAAAATAAGAGAACATGAACTCAGGCTTTCTTTTCTACATGGTTTGGATTTTTATTTTAATTTGTAACAGTGAGTTATCAGTATCTTATAGCAACTTTTATACTCTGTTGGCCTGGAGTTCTGAAGAACAGGAAGGGCGTTTATACTGGAAGAGGAAGATATGGCACTGAATGTTGTGACAGAGACTAGAAAATTGAGTAGGCGATGACAAATTTTAAGTGTTAAAGTACTTGGAAATTTCTAGTACTTTAAAAATAAAAGGAACAGTACAAAAAATGTGATCCCTAATGATCCTAACTTCCAAACTTTGGTTTCAATTCTCCCATGTATTCAAGGACATTCATCTTTTCTCAGAGGAGACAATGAAAGTAGCATCTAATGGGGCCTTCTTATGGGCTCTTCTTTCTCCAAGTGGGAAGCAACATCCATTGCTCCTGCTGAGTATTTGACAATTGTTGGAAATTTATACTGACAAAAAAATTGTTTTCAATTCAGAGGAGAATGTGTTTATTTTAAAAATGTGGTGACTGCGTCCACACTGTAGAGCCTTAAATAAGAATTTATTTCCTTAACAGGCTTGAGGCTCTCTGAGCTCGGAGAACTTAGGCTCCTCTTCAGCACTTACTAAGGCCACTCATTTCTGACATTTTCTGAACCAACCAGTGCAGCCTGTTGTGTCTGACATTAAAATCTGCTCTTTCCGAGAATCACATGGAGCTACGATTGATGGACTGCAATTGAGACCTAAATGAATGATGCTCTTAAAGGATGTTTCTGGCAAGGCTTCTGAAAGTAACTTCTGTTTAAAATGGGTCAAGCATATACTTTAAAACACTATTTTCCAGGAAAAAGAGTCTTTGAGAAATTATACGTGGATTTATCATTTGTTACTGTCAGTTATGGGGCTATGCTTCTTAAAATCAGAGGCTGGCCTGAAAATTAGAATGTAAATGCCAAGAAGTGGTTAAGAAAATGCAGCCTATCTCATAGATTATTTTTTATTATTTTCTTTTCATTCTGAAAACATTTGGTAATTACCTCATAAGTAAATAGTACATGTAATCCTAGCCCCTATTTATTTAAAATGATCAAAATTGAACAGTTCTAGAAGATGGCAGCCTCATTACAAGACGGATGTATTAAATTTCACAAGAAAATTTAGATGGCATGTACCAAGTGGTAGGGACCCCAGTCTCCTCGCCATTGCTCAAAACACTTGGGGGCAAAGGCCATGGATCCTGACATTTACACTTAAAATTGTCATGCCTGGGATAGACTCCAGTTTACCTTAGGTTCAACTATTTTGTCTGGAGAATTACTACTGAAATGATTACTAAGGATTGAACCTTTCTGCCCCTGAGGTAGCTGAAACGTATCACCTAAAGGTTTCATTCTTTTGAACCAAGTCCATACCACCTACCACCTGGGAACTACATTTTTTTTTTTTTTTTTTGAAAACCCAACATGGTGGCCATTTGCTTCGCTTGAAAGATGGTGGTCACTTATCTCACTTAAAATATAGTGGCCATTTGCTTCACTAGGAGAGAACCTGCCTATTTACTCATTTTTCACCAGCCTAACTCAAAAGAGACTGAATTCTTTCCTCTCAGTCTATACCCATGGTAGGCAACCTACCTGTGAATCCCAGCAACCAAAGCGCTAAAGATACAAATACCTGTTAATAACAGGATTAATCTAGACATATGGTAAAGGTGTTTAGGCCAAATCAAACCTCTTCTAAGAACTATCAGCAAACTCAAGGAAAACTAAATGGTGCCCACGGAAACAGAACTATGAGAGAAAACTGTAAAAATGTCTTTATCAGTCAGGGTCCCAGCACAGCAGAGAGTAAACAGTTCACACAAGTTAAGGTACTTCAAAGAGATTCTAATCAAGACTCTTTCAGATGTGAGCGGGATATCCAGGGTGGGGGGTGAGGGGTGGGCAGGGCAGTTACTGGAACCCCATCAGAGAGAGCTGTGTGGACAAAGCCTCTGAGAGAATCAGTGACTTTGGCAGAGGGACACACACAGCCAGCCTGCAGGGAGGGATTATCCAGAAAAAACACACTCTCCCCCCACTGCCTCTGCTGCCAGGGCTCCCCGGTGGCTGAACCGAATGAAAGCTTGAGGGTAGGTGGTTGGTTGGTGTCCACACAGGTCAGGTTTCCAGATTCAGAGAGCTGGTGGACGGTGAATCTGGAAGGGAAACTAGGAGAGCTATCCAACAGATGGTCTAAGAGCTAGCAACATGGGTAACTGCAGGGGTAATTGCATTGATTACACCACTGAGTTGTGCACATTGTTTTCTAATTAGCATTAGTATTTAAAAAAATCAGAGGCCTTTCTTTGCAGAAGAACCCTTGAGGTCCCTCCCTCCCCCCCGTTCCTGGGACCCTGGGAGCTGAGCTCGGTCTAGGCCACTGGTTTAGGGCAGGGCCAGTGTTTAATCACCACTGGGCTCCTACCCTGACCCCTCCATGCTAGCCCGTCTCCATTCCTTAGCCACATTTCTCTGTGCACTAGGAAAGTGTAGCTCAAGGGTCCTGGGAACTCAAGCATGCTTCAGTTTTCTTTCTGCTGATAGCATCACCTACCTCCCACCGCTTCTGGCAACATTACCCAAGTAGAAAAAAGAAGTTAAGCGTCAATTAACTTCTTTAGAACCAGAAGAGGCGAAAGCATTTGAAAGTAGGGTCACTCTTTAATTGAAAATTTCAAACTAACAATAAATGTGTACGGGCTTAAATAATCATTGGTTTAATTGCCTAAGAACAGTGGAATTTAATCGGTAATGGAAAAGAACCGAACAAAGATTTCTTTATTCGTTAGTGCACTTACCAAGGACAGTTACTTGAGTCATAGCAGCAGTGCTATCTAGAGCAGTGTGAGCTGAACACGAGTAGACACCTTGGTCTTCTACGGTGACATTAGATATAGTCAAATTAGCTCCATCAATAATTATCCTGCCAGGAAAAAAGTGAGTCTATGATGAGGATGAAACAAACAGAAACAATAGAAAAGTAATCCTTTCAAAACTAAATATTCCCCATAGAAAGCAATTTAAGGAAGAATTAAAAAGAAAAACTTGTTCCATAATGTAAATTTTATTAGAGAATGCCATACTTGAAAACTGGAAAGTATTATTCAAGCACACACAAATGTCTACAAGCCATGAAAGGGATCAGGTTGGTTGGTTGGTTGGTTTTTAAATTACCAAATCCAACCATCTGTGATTCATGGGTCAGTGATGGAACCATCTTGCCTGGTGTGTCTGAAGAGTGTACCATACCTCACAATAGCTAAGATAAATTTGAGACATTCTTAAGGTATGTTTAGGGAACCACCTACATAGGATCAACTTGGGTGCTTCTTACAAAGGCAGATTCCTGAATCACACCCCAGTTCTGCAGAACCACAATATCTGAGATGAAGTCTGGCAATCTCTATGTTTGACAACTTTCTCTTTTCTCCATCCTTCCACCTCCCACACTGAATGCACTTTAAGATGGGATAAAAAGTGAACTCTGTGACTTATCTGAACAGTAGATGGCAGACTAGTGCTTCTTTTTGCAAATCATTTGGCTTTTTATTATTTGTTCTCTTTTTGCCAATTTCTAATTGAGTTTACTATATGAATTTTTAAAAAATGAATTACACCTTTACCCTATGCTTATGTATTGTTAGCATAACTAATCAAGGATTTTTTTTAAAAAATAAAGTTCCATTAAATCTGAGATATATTCACAGCAGTGTGCTATTTAATTGAAATAAACAATGTCTTCCTTGTGGGGAGGGAGGGAAAATCTTAAATAATTTAGTTTCTTAACATAAAACTCATATAGGCTGCTGAAAAGTTCGAGTTATAGAAAACCAATTAAAACTGTAGTAAAGTCAAACATGGTTCTGCCCTTTGATTATAGACAAAGTCGGCCCCTTACCCCTCCACCAATCACTGAATGATTTGCTAATCAATACTACTTGGTATTGCTAGGCAAGAATCTCACTATAATTCTAATGATAAAGCTTTGACATAGTTTCTCAGTTCATGTTAGTTATGTGTCCATTTGGTACAAATATCAGAATATTACATACACTGACAATTTTGCAAAGTTTACCTTCTTAGATGAAGAAATACAATTTAATAACCTCTTCAAGAGGGCTGTTTGTGCCCTGCACATCCACGAGGGCCCAGGGGAGCTGAAATCTAGCCTACAATCTTCTTGCCAAGATTTGTACCCCGGTGTGGGACTGCTTCACGCCAGAAAGAAAGGGCAACTTAAGGGCAACTTTTCTGTAACGCACTGTCTTTTAAAAATCACAAATGTACCTCATTTTAATCAAGGTAGAATGACCCCCTGGTCCTTGAAATCTGGGAGGTATGATATACCCAGGGAGGTTATTAAAAATTTCCTTTGTTGGGCTCAGTCCAGTTTCCAAATCAGAACTTTTGGGAATAGGACAAGGGCCACTGCATTTGAACATGATACCTAGGTAATTCTGGCTCACATCAAAATCTGACAACTATTTGTGTTAGCAAGGATACACTCTGCTGTGAAGTAACAAACAACTACAAATTCTCAGTGCCTAAGACCACACTCTTTATTTCTGTCTTACACTATGTTTCCATCATAGGTCAACTGTATTCTGCTTGAAGAAATCCTTGTTAAGCACATTATACATTTTAAAAATGGTTTCTACTCTGCATAGAACCTGTTCTCTGGCTTCTTCTTCATCTCTGTTCCTCTCAGTCTTTCCCCCTGTTTTCACCTGCTTAACTACCTCCCTTTGCCATCATTCTACAACCTCTCAGCCCCTTCATCTGAAATATCCAGATCGCTAGTCCCCGAACCATGTTAACCTCCAGTGTTTTCTTGCTCCATCTTGTAACAAATTTCGCTCCAGGCAATATTAAAAATGTTGCTTTCTTTGGAGACCTGTGTCTGAGGCTCGGTTTCACCAACTATGACTTGTATAATCTTGCACAACACTTGGAGCCTAATTCACCTTATTTAAGAAATAGGGATAACACTATTTTCTTTCTTTTCAGGAGAAGTAAATGAGGGAAAACACATAAAGTGATTTGTGTATACAGCCTGGCTTACTATGTGCTCAAAGAGTGTTACTAATAATATTAATCAAATTGATTTAATTCATTGTTGGCTTGTAACTAATCACATTTCTTAATGCCCCCAACTCCCATTCCTCCTGCCTTTCTGCTTGAACAAATTACCTTAGTTCCTCTTTTCTTAGGAAGAGACCCTTCTCTATCCTTATAATCTCTGCCTAATCTAATGCCTTATAACCTCTGCATCCTTATCCCCCACCCTGAGTCCTACCCCATTCATCTGCTGCCATTTCTGAGGGGAAAAAGAAGCCCTTCCTTGATGCCAAGATAAAGCCCTCGCACTTGTGCTTTTGACACCTTTTCCCTCTCACCTCCTATTCATGGACACGTGGACACATCCCATATCCCTCTGCCATCCCTCCTCCTTCAGGACTGGGTCGTTCACTCTGTCTATGGTCATGAACAGTCCCCATTACATTTGTTGAGGACAGTCTAAATTTTAAAAGTGGTTTGATAGCATATCCACACTCCATTTCATTTTTCATAACAATATTGTATTGTCTAGAGCCACCTGCAGGTTAGAAATCCACAGACAATTCCTTGAGGTCATTTCAGCCTTCCTAATAGGTTTACTGTGAGCACAACAGAGGGAAAGCATGTATGGGAGGCACTAACATAACATGAGGCACCCAGCAGGTATAATGGTCCAGGGTAGCAGTCTCCAATACTTATCATACCCCTGTACCTAACAGGGGACAAAAGGGGAGAGAAGAAGGTATTTTACTTCTCATTTTCCTCTATGTGCCTTTGGGTCAGAAATCTAAGCACTTTCTAGGTAAAAGCTTCTGGTTCCCAGCCTAGTGATAAGGAGAAGGTGTCCCGGCAGAAGGTGAGAAATGGGAGCTTACTAATGGTTCTACAGAAGTTTAGCAGATACCTGTGATCTCAACTCCCTGCTACAATTCCATGTCTGCTCCTGGCTCTAGTCAAGACCAGCCTGCAACAGTCATTCCCAGCCCAGCCCACCCCAAATATCACTTGTCTTAAGGAAAACTAGAAGAATGTCCGCATTACTTAGGTGACTCAGAGAGCCAGAGGCTCAATTGGGTTCAGCCCCAGCGTCCTGCAGAAGCTATAAAACTGAGTCACACAAAGAGGCTGGTTGGAGAGTCTGGATTCAGGGCCTAAATATGCACATCACATTACCAACCAGGCGTGAGTCAGATTCCCTTCTTGGCTGTAACCCAGAGGTTATACGGAAGACCCCAAATAACTACATGGTTGACAAAACAGGGAGAATTTGGGGGGGATCTGAGCAGTTGACAAATCAACTCGCACCTAACCAAAGGCTGAAGATCTCTGTTGCAACGTGTAGCCTGTTAGGTAGCAACGATTATTCTCCTTTTGTGTCACTGACAACTGGTTGCAGTACATATGCTGCCTTTCCACAAACATAAAATACAGAGGAGGGATGAGATGGAATAAATTAAGTACCCAGGGTGAAACCAATCAATGCCTTTATACAGAAGCGGCACACACACCCACAAATACCAAAAAAGACCAAGCAGGTAACAGAAATGAGACAAGACTACCAGAGAAATGAGGAGAATGAATCATCACAGCTACACTGGACTGAGTATATTCTAAGTGCTTGGTGTTAACTCCTAATAACCCTATGATGAAGTGACCTTAAACCATTTTTTTGAACTAAACTATGTTATAGAATATAAAACTAAGGCACAGAAAAGTTAGGCAGCTGGTCTAAGGTCACAGACCCAATAAGTGACAAAGTTGGGATTCAATCCCAAGCCCCTGGGTTCCAGTGGCCGTGCTCTTAATGATGACACTGCCACCATCTCGCCTAAGGAATGCAAGTCCTGTCTAAAGATCTTCAGATTTAGTTTTTCAGAATGATGAAGAACAAGACGGCGGGTGAGATTTGGAACAAGGATGGTCAAGTTTTAACCCCTAACTTAGCAACAATGCAAAAGGAAGGGGAATGTCCTCTGCTTCCAAAAGACAGCACACGCATTCATTAAATATTGACTGTTTGCTCTTCCTTTGATACACTTAACAGTGTTTAAATAAAGTGCCAGTCAGCGTCTAGTCACACTTACTCTACATTCTCTCTTCTACACTTTTACATATTCTTTACAAAGAAGCTGGAAGGCTCAAAAATATACTTGTCAATAATTATCAATGGGAAGGATCTGAGATATGATTTAGCTTCTACCCATGAGATAAATTCCTATGAGATTGGGAGGTAGAAGAGAAATGGGCACCAGCTCCTCTGGGGCCTTGTGAGCTGACAGTGGCTCTGGCAGATATAAGAGCTGGCAGTGCTGGACTCACCAGGAGAACCCGTGGGGTGAGGGGGGGCAGTGAAGACAGCAGCAATTTCCAGACATGTGAATTGCAGCTGCAATGCCACATCACCGAGAACCCAAAAGCTTAGTAAGCAGCACCCACAGACCTATCTCCTCCACTCTTTCCAACGGTTTTGTGAGCACCCAAGCCCATGCAATAAATATTCCTCAAATAACAGGAGCTGTTTCTGTTGCCTGCACTCACAGGACGGTACACGTTACATGAAAAATCGGTAGCAAAAATGAGGAGAGAAACGTGTGGAAGTGAAACAAGTACACTGTTTGACCTTTTAAATACTGCCTTAAAGACTGAAATGTCATAAGCAGTTTTTATATTTTAATTCAGTGTGTATACTTTTACAACTATTTTTCTTTCAAATGCAAGGTTTAATCCCAAGCAAATATTATGAGATACTATAATAGTTTACCATAAATAGGTGTTGTGTTTTGTTAAATTCTTTTTCTGCATCTATTGAGATTATCATATGGTATTTATCCTTTAATTTGTTAATATGGTGTATCACAGTGATTGCTTTGTGTATATTGAAGAATCCTTGCATTCCTGGGATAAACCCCACCTGATCATGGTGTATGATCCTTTTAATGTGTTGTTGGATTCTGTTTGCTAGTATTTTGTTGAGGAGTTTTGCATCTATGTTCATCAGTGATACTGGCCTGTAATTTTCTTTAAAGACATACCAATTTCCAACAAACACATGAAAGGATGCTCAACATCACTAATCATTAGAGAAATGCAAATCAAAAACACAATGAGGTATCACCTCACATCGGTCAGAATGGCCATCATCAAAGAATCTACAAACAATAAATGCTGGAGAGGGTGTGGAGAAAAGGGAACCCTCTTGCCCTGTTGGTGGGAATGTAAATGGATACAGCCACTATGGAGAACAGTATGGAGGTTCCTTAAAAAACTAAAAGCGGAACTACCATATGACCCAGCAATCCCACTACTGGGCATATACCCTGAGAAAACCATAATTCAAAAAGAGACATGTACCACAATGTTCACTGTGGCACTATATACAATAGCCAGGACATGGAAGCAACCTACGTGTCCATCGACAGATGAATGGATAAAGAAGATGTGGCACATATATACAATGGAATATTACTCAGCCATAAAAAGCAACGAAATTGAGTTATTTGAAGTGAGGTGGATGGACCTAGAGTCTGTCACACAGAGTGAAGGAGGTCAGAAAGAGAAAAGAAATACCGTATGCTAAGGCATATATATGGAGTCTAAAAAAATGGTACTGATGAACTTAGTGGTAGGGCAGGAGTAAAGATGAAGTCATAAAGAACGGACTTGAGGACAGAGGGGGAGAAGGGGAAGCTGGGACGAAGTGAGAGAGTAGCAATGACATATATATAGTACCAAATGTAAAATAGATATCTAGTGGGAAGCTGCTGCATAGCACAGGGAGATCAACTCAAGGTTTTGTAATGACCTAGAGGGGGGGGATTGGGGGGTGGGAGGTAGGCTCAAGAGGGAGGGGATATGGGGATAAATGTATACATTTAGCTGATTCACTTTGTTGTACAGCAGAAACTAACACAACAGTGTAAAGCAATTATACTCCAATAAAGATTAAAAAAAATAGTTTACATACCTGCCATCCTCTGTGCCATTAATTTCAAAGGCTTCTCCATCTTTACTCCAGGATAATTTTAAACTGTATTTCAAATGTGAGTCACATTTGCTCTCACAATGTAATTCAAGTGTGTGTGATCTGGGGACACGAGGATTCTTAGGAGAAACTCTAAGTTTTGTAGCATCTGTTTTTACAAAATAAAGATACTAGTTAGAGCTATAGAACACAGCTTACTTTGCTGTCAAGTGCCTGCAATTTAATCAACCAAATTGGTCAACACTGATAGTCAAATCCACATGCAATGTTTGTCACACTGTTATTTCCTAACATCATATGTCATTACTATTTTCATTCCTTCCAAGCCAGGGCACCTGGGTAGAAGTATTATATTAATAGCAATTTCCCAAGAGTGTAAGCAAGCAAATGCCTCGGGATATTGAAAATAATATAAATTGTCTGGTGCTTCTGGACATGTGATCAAAATACCATAAAGAGGAAATCAATTAATTTTCTATTACCTTGTTTATTATTAACTCAAATCTGAGGTTAAATGGTGAAGCCCATGCATAGATGAACTAACAACATGAAGGTGTGGAACGCGAACATAAGCACCATGAACGTGGAGGCTTTGCTTGTTTTGTTTCATTCAAGTAACTCCAGAGCCCAGAAGGGAGCCTGCGTACAGTAGGTACTCAATACATATTTGTTGAATGAGTTACAGTGAGTCATATTTGGAAAGTAAATTAGTAATATCAATAATATGAATAAAATACCTAGGAATAAAAATAAAATACCTAGGAATAAACATACCTAAGGAGACAAAAGACTTGTATGCAGAAAACTATAAGACACTGATGAAAGAAATTAAAGACGATACAAACAGATGGAGAGAAATACCACGTTCTTGGATTGGAAGAATCAACATTGTGAAAATGACTATACTACCCAAAGCAATCTACAGATTCAATGCAATCCCTATCAAACTGCCAATGGCATTTTTCACAGAACTAGAACAAAAAATTTTACAATTTGTATGGAAACACAAAAGACCCCGAATAGCCAAAGCAATCTTGAGAAAGAAAAATGGAGCTGGAGGAATCAAGCTCTCCAACTTCAAACTATAGTACAAAGCTACAGTAATCAAGACCATATGGTACTGTCACAAAAAAAGAAATATAGATCAATGGAACAGGATAGAAAGCCCAGAGATAAACCTACGCACACACGGTCACCTTATCTTTGACAAAGGAGGCAAGAATATACAATGGAGAAAAGACAGCCTCTTCAATAAGTGGTGCTGGGAAAACTGGACAGCTACATGTAAAAGAATGAAACTAGAACACTTCCCAACACCGAACACAAAATAAACTCAAAATGTATTAAAGACCTAAATGTAAGGCCAGACACTATGAGACTTAGAGGAAAACATAGGCAGAACACTCCATGACATAAATCACAGCAAAATCCGTTATGACCCACCTCCGAGAGAAATGGAAATAAAAACAAAAATAAACAAATGGGACCTAATGAAATTTAAAAGCTTTTGCACAGCAAAGAAAACCATAAACAAGACAAAAAGAGAACCCTCAGAATGGGAGAAAATATTTGCCAATGAAGCAACACACAAAGGATTAATCTCCAAAATATACAAGCAGCTCATGCAGCTCAATATCAAAAAAACAAACAACCCAATCCAAAAATGGGCAGAAGACGTAAATAGACAATTCTCCAAAGAAGATACACAGATTGTCAACAAACACATGAAAGGATGCTCAACATCACTAATCATTAGGGAAATGCAAATCAAAACTACAATGAGGTATCACCTCACACCACTCAGAATGGCCATCATCAAAATATCTACAAACAGTAAATGCTGGAGAGGGTGTGGAGAAAAGGGAACCCTCTTGCACTGTTGGTGGGAATCTAAATTGATACAGCCACTATGTAGGACAGTATGGAGGTTACTCAAAAAGCTAAAAATAGAACTACCATACGACCCAGCAATCTCACTACTAGGCATATACACCACAGAAACCATAATTCAATAAGATTCATGTACCACAATCTTCATTGCAGCTCTATTTACAATAGTCAAGACATGGAAGCAACCTATGTGTCCATCTACAGATGAATGGATAAAGAAGATGTGGCACATATATACAATGGAATATTACTCTGCCATAAAAAGAAACGAAATTGAGTTATTTGTAGTGGGGTGGACGGACCTAGGGATGGTCATACAGAGTGAAGTAAGTCAGAAAGAGAAAGACAAATACTGTATGCTAACCCATATATACAGAATTGAAAAAAAAAAATGGATCTCATGAACGTAGGGGCAGGACAGGAATAAAGATGCAGACGTAGAGAAGGGACCTGAGGACACGGGGAGGGGGAAGGGTAATCTGGGACAAAGTGAGAGAGTAGCACTGCCATATATACACTACCAAATGTAAAATAGATAGCTAGTGGGAAGCAGGTGCAAAGCACAGGGAGATCAGCTTGGTGCTTTGTGACCACCTAGAGGGATGGGAGGGAGATGCAAGAGGGAAGGGATATGGGGATATATGTATACATGTAGCTGATTCACTTTGTTATACAGCAGAAACTAACACAACATTGTAAAGCAATTATACTCCAATAAAGATGTTAGAAAACAAAACAAAACAATATAAAGCTCAAACGTTGGTACCGTGGCTGTCTTGGAAAATGTCTGTTTCTTTATAATTGTTTCAAAACATATAATCCTTACTCTTAAGGACCATATTAAAGGCAGATATACTTTACCCCAATGTGGCACTTGGTAATCCTCTCAGAAGCTAAATCTCATGAGCTGACCTCCAACTCCACAATCATGTTCTAATATTTGCTATCTATATGTTAGTCAAGAAACTGATTAAAAATTGAGGTGTTAGTAAAATTGAGTTTTTGATATTCCAAGCATGAAATCTGAAGAGGTTATCAAATTGAATTAATTTCAAGTGAATTACTAAACATCCTAGTTCTAAATTTAAATGAATCCATTGAATACTAATTGATACCATTTAATAAGCACTTATTTCATTTAACTAGACTCTGTGAAGAAGTTTACATTCATTGTGACATTTTACAACAATTCTATGAATATTAATATCGCTACCTTACCGAGAAGATAACTTAAGGCTAAAATGAAATTAAGTAAGGATACTAGTATTTTCTGACTAGTAAGGGACTGAGCTGTGATTTGAACTCAAGGCTGGAAGACACCAAAGCTCATGCTGCATAGCCTCTTATTCAATTCCATTCCTGACATTCCTTTTTCATATGTGAAAAGTATGCCCTTCATTCTCATGGATACGATTCCTATATAACCCTTACATATACAATGGACATGAGAACAGACCAAAAGTTTATGAACGTGGCCTTCTCTCTGGCCACTAGCAGTTTTGAGGTCCACTTTGGGCCAAGCACTGTGTTGGGCAATAGGAATGTGAAGGTTCATTTGGATTCCAGACTTCACTCTCATTATCTTTCACCTGGCGGAGTTGCTTATCTTTGATCTAGGTTGGTTTTACAAAGTATAAAAAGAATCATCTTCATTGATGTTATAAGAGCATTTTAAAAATTGCACATACCACTTGAAAATGCAGAGAGACATCCACTATAAGTAGGCATCAGTGAATATTAGTGTGCCTTAAAAATATAGTCCATGGGGCTGGCATGTTGGGTAACTTAGGGTATAGAAAAAAATACGATGGAAGAATAAAAGAAGGAAAGAAGGGTGTGCGTGTGTGTGCAGAGAGAGAGACAAATGTTAAGGTAGCAGTGAAAACAGATGATTAAACAAATATGTACCTGTTATCTAAGCAGAGGTAGTAGCAGGCCATGACAGTGATCTGTCACAGGAAATACAAACCCTCCCTTCATTTACTATAGAATGTTTCTATTCTTTGTGTTTCCCTGAAAAGGGTTCTCTGAGCAATTTTAAAATCAAAATACTGCTGATGCCTGTGGATCTGGGTTCCAGTAAGCCTGAATCTAGGTGCTGAGATGCCCCTCTTTGGGACACTGACATATCTTGGCACATACTTAACTATGGGGAGCAATTACAAATGAAACAGGCTGCTTGAACAAGAGAAAAAATACAGAGCTGTTTATGACTCAAAAAGAGGACAAAACTCTGCTCACTTTGTCATGCCGGAGTCTTTACGAAACTGATCCTTTATGAGTTTATTTGTGAAATTTTTAGTTCAAAGAGTTGAATACTGGTGACATTACATTGAGCTGGTTACTGAAATAAAATAGAGTTACAGGAATACACCAAAATAGAGGACTTTAAATATTGCTGGTCATCCATCACCAGGAACACCTAGTTCCCTCTTACAATTGTATAAAGCCATGGACACATCATCGACAATCCGATAATTCTTGTGAAGGTCGTTTAGATGAAACCCAATCTAGGAGTTTTGAAACAGTCTAAAGAAATTTAACAGATGCCCGAACTTAAATCATATTGTTTCACTTGGGAAAATGAAAAACTGAAGCCATGTGACAATTCATGCAAAGTAAAAACAAAATAAAATTACTTCTAATATCCAAATTGGCTGTGACTGCTGTTTTTCCTTTAGCGTTTTCTACCCAACAAGAGTAGGACCCAGCATCTTCTTCTGTGGTCTCACTGATCTGTAACGTGCCATTCTCATGGAAATGATACCGTCTGCCTTCAAGGGGTTTTGCTTCTTCCACCTTCTGCCTATAGAAAGTATAAATCAATGTGGGTTTGATAGAATCCTATACTCTTTGGCAAACTGGCGGCTGATGTCATTCAGTCTTATCCCTTCTTCAGGAGCTTAGCAGACCTTATGAAATGTTCCATTAGAGTTCACAATTTTTCCACAAGAGGCGATAGGGTATACATCTTACCTGCCCAAATAGACTGTGACTGGAGGAAATCTGTGTCTGAGCTCTATGCTTCTGCTGTATTTATAACAGCGCTCAGTACCACTTTACATCTGTTCTCAGAGTTTAATAAATACTTTCTGCCTTATTGATGGTGAACCCTCCAGTTAGTCATTGCTTCAGGGTACTAAATGGGAAAGCTGGTAATTGAACGAGATAATGAACATTCTGAACCTCCTGCTGTCCTAGAGGAACGTTGGTCACTCAGAAATACTATAGGCCAGGAAGTCTTTCCTGTCCTGTGGACATGGATAACATTGACCCTCATCACCCAGAGTCATTTTCTCCTACATTCATCCATTTTCCAAGCATTTGCTGCCCAGCTTGATTCTCCCTATGCGTTTCACAGTAAGAGGCTCCCGGAGAGAAAAGATGCAAAGGACAAAGTCTGGCTGCTGTCCACACGAGATTTTCCAGGGCGGGCACTAGGGTAAGGCAAGTGAGGCGCTTGCTTCCGAGACAAAATTTAAGGGTTGCCAAAACAAAAATCTCAGTATAATCAAGATAAATATTTTAATGAGGTATTTCTAAAAATCAAAAATAATACAAAAGATTCCACAATGAACAAAATATCCAAATTTTAAATAAAGCTAGAATCTGACCCTATACTTGGATGACCTTGCCTTGCTCTCCTCATTCTAATCTCAGCCCTGCAGAGCCCTGGGGAAAATTATGTAAGACTAGTTTAACCAAGTTTTTCTAGTGAAGGAACAAATATGGTAGATTCATACAATGGTGTGTTTGAAGTTACTATACCAACTAATATATCGAAATTAAATTCAAAACACATGTTGACAAAGTTTTAAACATAGGCACTTGGAATGAAATGCAGACTTAACAATTATTTAGATAACACCCAAAACGACAACAGTAATGTATGACCTTAGATATATCCGTAATGGAGACCTAAACTACCTATAAAATTGTCTTAGCAATCACTTCAATTTTTTGCTTTCCTTTGTGAGCAAAAATGGCTCTCCATATTTCCCCATGTGAGAGAATACTACAAATCTAGTCAACAGTGCCAGGAAAGGTAGGTAAGTAAGTTTGCTACCTTAGTTCTCAGAGGCGCTCGCTACATGTAATAACTTGACACAGTGCAGCCTGTCAAGTGATGGATGAAGAAACAAGGCACAATCTACAACTGACATTCTCTTAAGAAAACCGTGTAACAGCTTACCAGGACACAATTGCCTCGGGTGAAGCAAAGAACTCACAGTGTAAGAAAGCACTGTACCCCACCACCGTGGCATAATTTTCTTCATCTGCAGTTTGTATCAATGGACGGACATCTATTGGAAAACAATATAAATGCAGTTTTAAATGTTCATATAATACAAGAAAATGTTTTTCTATACCCCAGCCATATTAATAAGGGAAAATAGTTGAATATCACAGTTCGTATTCCTGAATTGGAAAGTATCCCAATGCAATACATTTTTGGAAGTATAACTTTTAGTACGAGGTCTCATGCTCAAATGTAAGGTGAAAGGTACTTTGATTTTTCCCAACGTTTTATGTGCCAAGAATTCAATCTACTTGTGAGTATGACCGTGAACATTTTCCTGTAGAAAAGAGCAGACAAACAGTCTGCTCCCAAGTATGCTTACCTAAAACATCGATGTTGGCATTGGCAAGGATAGTGCCATGGATGTTCGAGGCTTCACACTGGTACACAGCAGTGTGATTCGGTTGCACATTGGTAAAACTGATTTCCCTGGGGGAGATGACGTCACCAGAAAATGGATTTCCTACAAGAGATGAAAGACTGTCAGTGTGATAAAAAATAGAACCTAAAATATTTATACACTATTCATTAAACGTGTCACACAGTATTTATATTTTAAGACCAGTTTAGGGTGAACAAGAGTTCATTGAAACCAATTCTTTAGAATTTCTTAACATCAACCATGATTTTTTCTTTCCAGACCCTTCTGCAATTTCAATCGTCCTTCAAATAAGTATTTTTTGCCAAAATATGTGTTGATCTCTAGCTGTCTGCCTCTCCATACCCCCATCCACAACAAAGATTCCACATTTTCTGTTTAGCACTCAAGTCCCACTATGAACTGAATCTCACTTACTCTTGTCATTGAAGTCCTGATACTGCCCAGCGTAAACCACATGATCAACACAGCTGGATCCCCCCAGTCCACCAATATTGACTGCTATCTTCCCCCTTGACATGTTTTTCCTGTTTCACTTCTCTGCCCTTCTGCGATTTTCCCATCTACACCATTCATTTCAATTGCCCTGCTTTGCTATTTAACCACTTCAGATAAATAGCTCATATATTTCATTTTCCCAGGAGGACTAAACTCTTCTTGAGAGCACAGACCAGGTTTTCTACCTTTTCGGCAATAAATCTTACCCCACTGCTTATCCATGTGTAATTCTGGAAATATCTTTTGCAAGTGAGAAAATCTAATATTTATGGTACTTTATATTTTTTTAAATTTATTTATTCATTTATTTATCTTGGCTGAGTTGGGTCGTCGTTGCTGCACTCGGGCTTTCTCTAGTTGCGGCATGCAGGAGCTACTCTTTGTTGCGCTGCACAGGCTTCTCATTGTGGTGGTTTCTCCTGTTGCAGAGCACGGGCTCTAGGCGCACGGGGTTCAGTATTTGTGGCACAAGGGCTCAGTAGTTGTGGTTCACAGGCTCTAGAGCACAGGCTCAGTAGTGGTGGCGCACAGGCTTAGTTGCTTCATTGCCTGTGGGATCTTTCTGGACCAGGGCTCGAACCCTGTCCCCTGAATTGGCAGGCGGGTTCTTAACCACTGCACCACTAGGGAAGTCCCTATGGTGCTTTAATTAAGGGCCAGTGAACTCTGTTGGATACAGCACATGTGTTATCTCATTAACTCTGCTCAGAACCTGCAAGATCAGCGCCAGTATGGCCAGTGAGCAGGTCGGGGGGACTGTATTTCAGTCAATACCACATCCCACAGCATTTAAAAAAAAATTTTTATTTATTTATTTGTTGTGGTGTGAGGGCTTCTCAGTGTGGTGGCTTCTCTTTGTTGTGGAGCATGGGCTCTAGGTGCACGGGTTTCAGTAGTTGTGGCACACGTGCTCAGTAGTTGTGGCACACGGGCTTAGTTGCCCCGCAGCATGTGCGGATCTTCCCAGAGCAGGGCTCGAACCCATGTCCCCTGCATTGGCAGGCGGATTCTTATCCACTGCGCCACCAGGGAAGCCCCATTCCCACAGCATTTGGCCATGTGTCAAAGCACGTGGCCTGCTCTGAAACTACAAACAAGAAGTGGGAAGAGAAACATATTAGCTAGGAATGTTGAATAAGGGGCACAAATGTTAAAATTTTTCATTTATGGGCTTCCCTGGTGGTGCAGTCGTTAAGAATCCACCTGCCAATGCAGGGGACAGGAGTTTGATCCCTGGCCCAGGAAGATCCCACATGCCACAGACCAACTAAGCCCGTGCGCCACAACTACTGAAGCCCACGCGCCTAGAGCCCATGCTATGCAACAAGAGAAGCCACCGCAATGAGAAGCCCACGCACTGCAATGAAGAGTAGCCCCTGCGTGCTGCAACTAGAGAAAGCCCGCGGGCAACAATGAAGACCCAATGCAACCAAAAAAAAAAAAAAAAAGAAAAAGTGACGATGCTAAGTTTTAGGTCATAGAAAACGTTGAATATTACATAATAAAATAGAAGATTTTTTTAACATCTTTATTGGAGTATAATTGCTTTACGATGGTGTGTTAGCTACTGCTGTATAACAAAGCGAATCAGCTATATGTATACATATATCACCATATCCCCTCCCCTCTTGCATCTCCCTCCCTGCCACCTTCCCCATCCCACCCCTCTAGGTGGTCACAAAGCACCGAGCTGATCTCCCTGTGCTATGCAGCTGCTTCCCACTAGCTAGCTATTTTACATTAGGTAGTGTATATATGTCCATGCCACTTTCTCACTTCGTCCCAGCTTACCCTTCCCCCTCACCGTGTCCTCAAGTCTGTTCTCTATTTTATTCATGTCCTGCCCCTAGGTTCTTCAGAACCTTTTTTTTTTTTTTTAATTCTTATACATCATTTTTCCCTCTGGGAGTGAGAAATAAATACATCTTTACACTTAAAGATGTGAGCTCCATGGGGGCAAGACCTTGTCTATGTCTTGTGCACTATGTTCCTAGTGCCTAAAGAGCAGCTATCACAGAGGAGGCAGTCAGTAAATATCTCTTGGAATGACTGAAACATTTTTGTTGGGTGGCATTTTACCCATGGCCGAAAAATAGCCCCTGAAAGATGGCCACAGTCTAATCTCTACAACGTGTGAACATTTTACCTTATGGGGCAGAAGGGACTTTGCAGATGTGATTAAGGTCAAGGACTTTGAGATTGGATGATTATCCTGGATTATCCAAGGGGGCCCAAAGGAATTATAAGGCTCCTTATAACCAGAGAACGTTTCCTGGCTATGGCCAGCCAAAGAGAGATGTGACTACGAAAGGATGGTCGGAGAAACGCAACGTTGCTGTTTTGAAGTTGGAGGAAGGGAGCTGTGAACCAAGGAATGTGGGCAGCCTCTAGGAGCTGGAGAAAACAAGGCACGGGTTTCTCTCCTAGAGCCTCCAGAAAGAAGCACAGCACTGCTGACACCTTGATCTAAGCCCAGGGAGACCTGCGTTGGCCTTCCAACCTACAGAATTGTAAAATAATAAATGTGCACTGTCTTAAGCCACTGAATTTGTGGTAACTTGTTATGGCAACAATAGAAATTTGATACAATACCGTAGGACAATGTATCTCTTAAGAAGCATCAAGATGAGTAGCTCTTACAAGTTTTTTAACGTTAAAAAGAATTGTGTCTTTGATCTCATCCTGTACTCTCACACCCTACTTCGAATTTAACAAATTTCAGAGTAAACCCCATCATGCTGTTCAGTTCTTATACCATTTGCCCCATGGTAAACTGAGTCTGCATAGCATTACAAAAAGAAGAAGTGAGACTATGGCCTCCTGTTTGGGTGACAAGTAATTAAACATTGCTCCAGGATGCCTTCTGGGATAGGTATGGAAACTGCAGAGTATTGCGGCATACAGACTTCCAGGAGCTTCCAGAATTCTAGAAAAATTCTAAAATTCTTTATCAAACAAAAACCACTAGTCCTGACATAAGTTGTCTTTGGTCAGCTCAAAGGGCAAACATGCAATATAGGGAGAGAAACTTCAGCTCCGGAATTAATCATTTCAGTTCCATTTATGGCTCTAAATTCACTTGGGTTGTGTCCTCAATCAAGTAAGTAATGTAATCTCTGAGCCTCATTTGCCACATCTACAACCTGAAGAATAAAAGTATCTCCTTTGCAGGGCCCACTAGGAGGCTCAGAAATATTGGATGCAAAGTATTTGAAAAAGGTTAGGCTTGTAATCAATAATAGTAATCATTTTGATTTGATTTTCAAATATTCTATATAAAGGATATGTAATTGCTAAAAATATAAGCTTAAAGAGATTTCAAACCCTTTAGTGATCCACTGTCATCAAACATGCCAATTATAAATGGTTATGACCTGTTGGCAGGGAAGCAAGGAGAGCTGTGGAAAGAACACGGAACATGGGTTCCAAAAATGTGGCTTTGGTTCTAGGTCTGCCATTACTCAGCTGTGCTATCTTGCATTAGTTTGTCTTCAGCCTTGATGTGCTCACCCATCAACAAACGTGTTGGCTCTATTTTGTATATAAATCCATAACCTACCTGTTACTACTACCAATCTAGCCCAAGGGCCCAGTATCTTTTAGGCAGCTCCTAATTGGAGTCATACAATTGCTTCTCCATTCAGAGGCCAGAAAAATTCTTTGTTAATAAATTAGATCCTGTCACTCTTCTGCTCTGAATCGTCCAAGAGCTGCCCACCTTACTCACAATAATATCCCAAGCGCCCTTTTGGACCTTCCCCTTTACATATGATGTGGCCCCTGCACCTCCGGACTAATCTCTCCCAGCACTGCCCCCTCCTCACTCACTCGGCTTCAGCCATACTGCAGTCCCTGCTTTTCCTCAACACTCCAAACATACCTCACGTCTTTACACTCACTGACCCCTCCACCCTGAAAGCTCTTTCATAGGTAGTTGCATAGCTGCATCACTCTCCTCTTTCAGATCTCTACTCAAAGGTAAATAACCACAAGTATCTTACTAGTATTATCCTAAAATCGGAGAGCAGCTCTAGGTCCTGGACTCTCTTACACCCACCCCTTCCCCAGCTACTTTTCACTTTACCACATTGATGTGTTTATTCTTCTATTGCTTACCTCTCCCTACTAGAATGTCCGACTCATGAGAGCAGGGACTGTCTGTTTTATTCACTGCTATCTCCCAAGCAACAAGGCCAGTGCCTGGCACAAAGAAGGCATTCAATAAATATTATTGAATGAAATAATCAATCTGTTAAATATGAATAATCGTACTCCCTTTAAAAGGCTCATGTGGGGACAAAGCAGTACGTGAAAGTTCTTCGTAAACAGCCAAGTGCTATTCGAATATAAAATTTTATGATTTTATGTTCCAGAAAATCTGCATTTTTTGTTTTAGCTCCCTTAACATTCTTTATAAACAAAAGTTGTTTTCATTTCTGATTTACCTGAAGTCTTATTTTTCATTTCTTATTCTGTTCTCTAAAGAGATGAGGAAAAATGTCTCAAATTGAGGAAACTAATAATGAGGGCTGAAGTGTCATCAACAGATGAATGAATAAAGAAAATGTGAGATAACTGCTGTATTTAACATGGACAACCAACAAGGACCCACTGTAGAGCACAGGGAACTCTGCTCAACGTTATGCGGCAGCCTGGATGGGAGGGCAGTCTGGGGGAGAATGGATACCTGTACATGTATGGCTGAGTCGCTTTGCTGTGCACCTGAAACTATCACAACATTGTTAATCGGTTATACTCCAATATACAATGAAAAGTTAAAAAAAATAAAAACAAGACAGATTCACAAAAGCAAAAAAAAGTAGAAAATGTGAGATACATACATATATATATATATATATATATATCACACATATGCACACAATGGAGTGTTATTCAGCCATAAAAATGAAAAAATCCTGTCATTTGTAACAGCCTAGATCAACCTTGAGAGCATTATTGTAAGTGACATAAGTCAGACAGAAAAAGACAAATACTGTATGATCTCACTTATATGTGAAATATAGAAAACAAAACAAAACAAGCTCATAGATACAGAGAACAGTTAGTGGTTGCCAGAGGATGGGCCAAATGGATGAAGCGGGTAAAAAGGTATAAACTTCCAGTTATAAAACGAATGTCATGGAGGTATAATGTACAGCCTGGCAGTAACAGTTATTAATACTGTATTGCATATTTGAAAGTTGCTAAGACAGTAGATCTTAAAAGTTCTCATCACAAGCAGAAAAATTCAGTAACTCTGTAAGGTGACAGACATTAACTAGACTTACCGAGGTGATCATTTTTGCAATATACACAAATGACAAACAATTATGTTGTACACCTGAATCTAATATAATGCATGTTCGTTATGTATCAATCAAAAAAAGAAAAGGAAAAAATTTTCAGAACTGTTCATTGTTTTGCCAAAGTATTTGTATTTTAAATAAGTAGGCACATTCTTTCTTCTGAAAGCTATAACAAGACAGAATTGAAAGTGATTTTGTGTTGTTATCTGCTGAGAAAGTAGGTATGGTCATACTGTTATTTGACAATTTCTAGATTAATAGTCATAAGCTTGTATAATAGATATTTTAAAATAACTATCATTTTAATTTTCAATCTCATCATCAAATATGTTCAGTTAGTATCTGCTTGTCATTGACACTGTACCTATTGTCATACGAAGAAAAATGAAACAGATGCGTTTCTCAAAAATAACAATGAGCACTAAGGCTTCCTGAGTATTTGCTATGTGAAAACAATACTTTGAAAGTGTTGTTTGCATGGCAGTCACTGGGCTAAACATTCTCTGTGTGTGTCATTTAATCTACATAAAAATCCCCAGTGTCGGTGCTATTTTCATCCCCATTTTACTGATGAGGAAACAGGTTTTAAGAGGGTCAGTAATACACCAAATCACACAGCTAGTAAATGATAGAGCCTGAATGCAAACAAAGACCCTCTGGATCCAGAGTTTATAAACTTTCACAATGTTCTACAGATAAGTAATATCCTACTTGGTAGACTCCATCGGTCTCTTTCAATTACAACCAACTACCATTAGTTCCATTTTGCAGTTGAAAACCTAAGCTTCAGGAGATTCCCAGCTGTGTGATCTTGAGCTGTTTAGTGAATCTCCCCAAACTTAGGTGCACAGCCTAGTTGGGACTCCAGGTCTATACGTCACCAGGATGCCTATCCTGATACGAGTGGGTCTAGGGCAAAGGAACTAATAGAATCAACACACATATGTCTCCATATTATAAATGCTCTAAATCAAGCTGATCAATTGACCAATAAGATCTGTTCTATTATCCTACTTTAACAAAGACATTCAAAATGACCAGGGACGGGACTTCCCTGGCGGTCAAGTGGTTAAGACTTCACCCTCCAGATCAGGGGATGCAGGTACATCTCTGGTCGGGAAGCTAAGATCCCACGTGCCTCGCGGCCAAAAAACCAAAACAGAAAACAGAAGCAATACTGGAACAAATTCAATGAAGACTTTAAAAATGGTCCACATCAAAAAAATCTTAATGAAAAAAGACCAAAGCTCTGGGTTCAAATTGAGGATTTGGGACTTCTTGGAGCTCTATGCTGCAACACAGTGGAGTAGGGAGATTAGGCATTCAGTTCTGGTCCATCCCTTCTTTTCCACGCCCAGCCCATCTGGGAAGGGCTCAGAGCTGACTGCGCAGGGGATTTTTCTGGTCTTGGGTTACTGAAGCTTGGTCGAGAACCTGCAGTGAGCCAGGTTCAGGCTTTGCATGTCACTTTGGCCCTGCGGACTTCTCAAATCACGGAGCTAGGCATGCCATAGCAGGTCCTTGTAAAGAGCAGAACCCAGTGAGGAGTCCCTGTTGCCTGGATCCAACGGAAGTCCTAAATTCCAGCCTGTGCTCTCAACCACTAGGTCCCTGTTGCTGTTTCTTCTCAGGGAGAGGAACCTTCCTCCTTGGATGCATCCTCTATACCACTCAGTTGTCTTATTTTTTAAACCTTATTTTTATATATAATTAACATAATAGCCCAACAAATATTATTTACGGCTTTTCCATAAATCTCAGCATAAATCAAATTGCTTTGAAAGATGCAATTTTGGATTCCCTGGTTAGATCTGTCTTGTCAGTCCAGCCACTTACCAACTCCACTTTAGCCATAACGAGGGTGTCTAAACACTGTGTCCCAGCAAACCACTGCCTTCAGCAGTGCCTCACAGTTGGCGTTTTCACTTACTCTCAATTGGGAAACCATTGACTCTCCACTTGATTGCGGGCTCAGGTTCTCCTTCAGACTCACACAACAGGATACCACTGCTCCCAGTGCTGTACACGCCACTCTGAGGTTTCTTTGTCCAGCGAGGGGGCTCTGGAGATAAACTGAAGAGCTCATCAACATTTTCTATATCACAGAAGGTCCAAAAATGTTAAGGGCTGTATTTCTAGTATGCACCAGCAGATGGCAGACACAACAAGGTGTTTCACACTAGCTGTTTTTCAAAAATGTTCTCTAAGGCAAGATGGGCATTGTTTTTGCCTGGAATAAGGTTTGTGTGTGGTTATGTGCTTTTATGAGTGTGTGTGTTGCAATCTGGAATCTTAGCATGTGTAATAAAATCAACACACTAAAAGTAGTTACCTACAGTCACTGTATTTAGCTACAACGAGTATCTATCTCATTACAGAAAATGAAGGAGGGGTAAACATGTGAAGTTTATTGAGTGCAAGGCATCTAAAATGGCTGATATTCAAAAATATATTTTGAAAATTTTTTAATGAAATTAAAATGTTCAGCTGTTATTTAAAATATTTCTTAATTAATGACTCTATAGCATTTATCTTTCCATATGTAATTATCTATCTTAAGAATTTGGGAGACATTACTTCCTAGATTTTTTTTTTTTTTTTTGCAAGGGGGTGGGAGAAGGAATCCTAAAACCAATATTTACCTTTTTGCCTTCAAAACAATGGAGGAAAAGATAGATTTAAATCATACACTTGTATCTTTCTATGCCCTAACGCTCCAATCTTATAATTCTAAGTGGTGTGTCTCAGTATAGAAGGAGACATTCTTTAGTGCAAACATTACTGTCATGTTTTGTCACCTTAAGTATATTACTATGTCAGGAGTGAAGAAAACATTCATATTAGAGCGTGGATGGTTTGGATAATTTGATTTCAGAGAAAACTGCACAATACCGGTAGGTAGTAATTCCCATCAAGTGTTGCTTATTTTCCCTAAGACATTTCTGGATTTCCATTTTTAGTCAAAAAGGAAAGTCTTTAAGATACATATATGTATAAAATGAAAAATGTCATTTAAACAATTTTTTAAGGAAAAGAGGGATTATGTGGGGGAAAAAAGGTCTATAAATTCACCAGGGAAAACAAAAATATACAAATATCCTAGCAAGTTTAAGTCCAAACAAGAGACGTGGCTTTGTAATTATTCAACAGGGTGTGGACTTGTTAAATTCCAAGTTATATATGTGTCTTCATAATCTACAATTTGTAAATATTTAGTCATTAAGTTTAAAATGCAGTAGTCCAAATTATAAACTGCACATGACCCTCCAAGGTGAAGGGTTTTAGCTTTTGTGTGTTTGTCTGCATTTTTTATGTGAGTGTTACTTTCTTTTGGTCTTTTCATATAACCACAGTGAAATTAAACATTTGAGTTAGAGAAAAAACATGAAATTTTTCCTATTCACAGTAGAAAACTAAGACTATTGCTTTCAGAACATGTAAAAATACAGGAGATCATGGGGGTGTAATATATAGCATGGTGACTATAACGGATAAATAATACTGTACTGTTTATGTGAAAGTTGCTAAGAGATTAGATCTTAAAAGTTCTCATCACAAGAAAAACATTGTAACTATGTGGTAATGGATGAAAATGACACTTATTGTGCTGATCATTTTGCAATACATACAAATATCAAATCATTATGTTGTATACCTGAAACAAATGATGTAATATGTCAATTATATTTCAATAAAAATATTTCAATAAAAATAATAAAGGATACCATGTAATTATGACCTTTCCCTAAATCTTTATGAATAATAAAATCAAGATTTCCATTTCTATTCTCATCCTACAAATTTCATTAATCCTTCGGTACGCGGGCCTCTCACTGTTGTGGCCTCTCCCGTTGCGGAGCACAGGCTCCGGACGCGCAGGCTCAGCGGCCATGGCTCACGGGCCCAGCCGCTCCGCGGCATGTGGGATCTTCCCGGACCGGGGCACGCACCCGTGTCCCCTGCATCGGCAGGCGGACTCTCAACCACTGCGCCACCAGGGAAGCCCTTAAATGACCATCTTATCCAACCATTTCACCTTACAGATGGAGTACTGAGCTTTGGAGAAATCATCTAACTTGCCCAGGGTCACCAGGAAAAGAAGCCCCACTTTCTCTTCTTGCCATTCCATGGACCTGCAGACCTATTGGATGATCAGCACCGAGACTCCGAAGTAAACGTGGTGTTATTTCTAACTCATTACTATTTCACTAATTTGGATCACAGGTAGGAACCAAGGCTAAATAGCTTTAACAACTTTCACTCTGTGCCTCGAAATCCACGCTTCCGCAACAGCTATCAACTGACTCAAGAGGTTTTGCGTATCCACTAGAAATCATCGTTAAACTGTACCTGAACCCCTTCTCATAAGCTTTGTTTGGAAATTTGTTTTTATGCTTTTCATCCCTGTTTCTTCTGAAGAATTAATTTGTTCCTGAGCAAAGGTAGAATTGGCCATGCAATGTGAAAGGGACTTCAAGCCTGTCTTCTTCAGAGCATCTTCTTCTTGGGCCTGTCACGCCACTGCTCTCAATTCCAGGCCAGACTGAGAATCTCACAATTGGGATCTGTAGTGAGAGCACCTAGACTAGATCACCAGATGCGTGATCTCTGAAGAACCAGGGCAGAATTGTTCTCTTTCTGATGACTCCTCTGCTTTATATAGGGGAACAAAATCTGCCACCCCAAAATATTTCTTTGGCATGCAGATTACTTTGAGCTGAAAATAATCAAGGCCCAAAAGACTCAGGAAGAAACTCTGACCTCCCCGCTAACCGCCTAAGATAGTTTAGATAGAAGGCCTGTTTCTGGAAGAGAGCTACTACAGAAATATCTGTGAAGAACATGGGCCAGTTGTGGTAGGGGGAGCTCTGCAGGGCCTAGAGATTAGAGTCCACTCTGTGGCCCAGCAAACATCTGCGTACCAAACACTTGCTCTACCATCTCCAGTCTTCCTTGGAGATGCTGTCCTGTCCCCCTCTGAAGTCCCAAACATCCTCTTTTGTCTTTAGCTGAAGACGGTATTTAAGATGAGGCTTGGGCCATTTGGGTGAGTTACTCAGTTTTTCTGGCTCTCTCCCATGTATACATATTATTACACTTTTGTTTTATTTTCTCCTGTTAATCTGTCTCATGTCAATTTAATTCTTAGATGAGCCACAACAAAATAGAAGGAAAGAGGAAAATTTCTTTCTCCCCGACACTGGCACAATGAGAACAGATGCTCGTGGGGTAATTTTCAGTTGAACTGAAATGACTGATCCCCAAAGACTCCAGTGAAAAAGGCACAGAGAAAAAGGAAGGGGCCTTGGACAGGAGGGAATCACTGACTTCTGGTCATTCACAATCTCATAATTTCATACCTTGATTGAACATATTTACCTCGTTGCTACTTTGTTGACAATAGGATGCATGGTGAGCCTGAGGACACGGGTACAGGATAGGAAATGTCTGGTGGCTGAAGTGAGGCTAAGGGCATGCAGGGACAGAGAAAAGATTTTTCCAGAGGTTGGAACATGCAACCCTATTCCTGACAGGTAAGATCTATTTGAAAGGATGAAAAAAGGGCTCAAGAGAGGAGAATGATTAAAATGGAAAACTCTGAGAGAAAACAACATCACTGAACTC